CCATAATTCTTGTAGTGTGCTGCTTCCGGTATATAGCAGTGAGCGGTATAGCTTGGTTATGTGATAGTTCTATTTTATTTTGAGGTGCCTCCATACTGATTTCCATAGTGGCTAAACTAACTTATGATCCTAACAGCAATATATATGACAGGGTTCCTTCCCGACCCCCACCCCATCCCTACCAGGGTGAGAGGTAGAGATCTAGTTTCAGTCTTCTATATATAGATAGCCAGTTTTCCCAGCACCATTTGTTAAAGAGACTCTTTTCTCCAGGGTACATTTTTGGTCTCCTTGTCAAGAAGCAGATGGCTACAGTTGCATGGGTTTGCTTCTGTGTCCTCTGCTTGATTCCGTTGGTCTGTGTGACTGTTTTTATGCAAGTACCACGATGTTTTTGTCACCATGGCTTAGGGTACTTTGAAACTGGACATTGTGATGCTTTCAGATTTGCTCTTTCTGCTTAGGATCGGCCATTCTGGGTCTATTGGCTTTTTTGGCTATGCTGGGTCTTTTGTGTTTGTATATCAATTTAGGATTGTTTTTTCTAGTTCTGTGAAGAATTTCTTTGGGATTTTGATGGGGATTGCACTGAATCTGAAGATCACTTTTGGCAATACGGCCATTTTAACATTAATTCTGCCAATCCATGAACACAGGCGGTCTTTTTAGCTTCTAGCATCTCCAGTTTTTTTCATCAGTGTTTTGAAATTTTCAATGTGGACATTTCTATCTCCTTGGTTAGGCTGAGCCCTAGATATTTTTTAAAAGCTTGTGAATGGAACTGTCGTCCTGATTTCTATCTCAGCTAGTCTGTTATTGATGTATGAAGAATATAAGGATTTTTAAATGTTGATTCTGTGTCCTGCCTTTGTCTAATCTTGTTCAGCAATTTAAAATTCTTTAAGAGTAACAATTATTGACAGTGTCTCAATGTCTTATGAAGCAGTACCCAAAACTGCAGAACCAGAAGTGTAAAAGGTTGTCTGCATATCTTTCGATAAATTAAATCCAGACATCTAAAAAAATGTGAACTTCAGAACTCATAGTAGCATACGTTGCACACACATAGGCCAAAACGGGGAACTGAGTGGTCTCAGAGGCTTGGTTCTTGGCAGCAGTTTGCCTTGGGCCGTGTTCCCTGGGCAGCTGCTGCGTGACGCAGAGCCACCCTTGCGGCACAAGCCTTGCTGCTGGAGAAGAAAAGTGTGAACCAAGCTGTCAACAACCCCAGCTCCTGCCAAGCCCCATTTGCTTGCCAGCCAGGATTCTAAAAATGCATTTGGGAATTTTGACTTTTAGCTTTTACTAAATAGAAAATTCTACTGTGTGTATACAGCCTTGGTGAGCTGACCCAGCTTGGGGATAAATCTGGACTTTGTTTTTTGGATTTTACAGATCAATTGAACTTTACTGGTAGTGTATCTGCATTTCTATAGCATTTCCACCGTGAAGGAACACTTATAAATGGTCTGTGAATATACCAAACTTTACTCATCTTGCGTGAAGACCAAACAAATGCATAAAATTGGCTAAAATAATCCCCTCAACTACTCACACAAAATCTGATACATTTGTCTTGTGAGATTCGGCCTGTTTGGAATAGGTCACACTGAGGCCCTCGAGAGTTCTGCGACTGCTCTTTACTCGCTCCTTCCTCGGGCTGCAGGTCCTGTTTTGAAAATCCCATTCAGGTCGTCACAGCTCTGCACTATTAGAGGACTAGAAGTGAGACAGATGTAGGCGGTATGACTTTGGGGCTCCGTTAGGCTTTGTTTCAGGCTGTAGCATTCAAGTTTACTTGGGCCTGTAACTTTCTGGTCCCTCAAAAGAGGCAACATCAAAATACTGAAGATGCCTGGAGTAGTGGTGCACACCTGTAATCCCAGCTCTCTGAGACACTGAGGCAAGCGGACCACAAGTTTAAGCTCGGCCTGACACCTTAGCCACTCAGACCCTGTATCAAACTAAAAAAATTCTGAAAGGCTGGCAGTATAGCTCAGTGCAAAGGTCCTGGGTTCAATACCCCCATGTGCATTTTACAAAAGACTAAGAAAATGGAGGGTCTATAAATGCTGCCTGCCATTTCTGCTAAATTTTCTTTGGACCCAGTGTTAAAAACAACTGAACTCTTCAGGATGAGCTTCAGGTTTGGCAGGACGGCCCTGAGGAGCATCTGTGTTAGCAGGACTGTGTCTCTGTACTCAGGCTGGGTTGACCTGTGTCCTGGTTTCAACACAAGGACCAGGTTCCTCCTGCAACCCTTAACTTTCGTCAGTCACTTACAAGTGTTCGCATGTGCAGTTTGAAGGACACTGTGGGCATCTGTCCCCTGGGGTCCGCTGGCGCAGGGGCTCCTGTGCCCGCCACTCATGCTGTTCTAAGTTTGCTGCAGTACTAACAGGGTCTGCACGCTGGGCCTGGCCTGTGACAGGCAACTTGAAGGGTAAGGTGCTCCTTTCACCTCCTAGAAGCGGGGCATTTCTCAAGGTCTCAGGGGTCGGTGGCCTTACTAGTTGCAGAATAGTAAATGCCTGATGTTATTTACCTTTCATGGCCACACAGATTTGGGAAATGTAGTGAAGCTTTTGAACATTTTGCTTTAATGTCTTTGTGTCTGTACCCCTCCAGGCTTCTCTGCCCCTTTATAAATTAACATGCTGAGTCCAGAGCACGGCGTGTTTCCAGCTATGACACGGACACGCCTCGTGTGTACCCAGTTTGCTCCACCTTCCAGTGGCCTCCCTCCGTGGAGACAGAGCCATGACATAATCCTCACGAGGCTTCTGCAGGGCTCCCAGAGCCCACAGGTTCCTCACGGAAAGGCCAGGCCCACAGGCAGCCCAGTCACATAGCCCTGATGCGGTCAAAATGTCAGAACTTGTACAGCTAAAAATATTTTATAGTTTTAAATATATAGAAAATACCATGTAGAAAAATGTCCATGGTGTTCTTTTGTATTATACTCACATTTTAAAAAGGGACATTGGTCATTTCAAATGGTCTCTGCTTACATTTTATGTAAACACTGTTCTGGGCCCATGTTACTTAGCTCAAATTTATCAGTTCCTGGTGACTTTCACCACTCGAGACTTCGATCTGCCACCTGTTTTCTTGAGTTGCACCTGACTGATCTCATTCCAGGCAAATGAGCCTCTACAGAGATATCGCTGCAACTTCCCCAAAATAGGAGTTGTGAATGTGCCTAGACTTTCCTTTTACACACATCTGTGTCACGGTGTTTTTGATCTTTGTGTGCATCGACCACAAGGGGTCAGGCAGGGGAGCGCGGGAGCACAGTCTGCCCGCGGAAGGGCTGTGCCCTGTGCAGTGCCCGGCGCGCAAGTCTTCCTCCTTCTTGAAGTGTGCCCCGCCTGTAACAGCGCCAGTGTGAATACGGAAACATTTGAAAGTACGTTGAGCCAGTCGCTTACATTCTGAGGGTCAGCTGGAGAAGCACGAGTGCGTGAAACAGAGGAAACACGCTGTGGTTCCCCTACCACGCAGGCCCTGGGGGGAGGGGCGCCTGTTCACTCAGGGTGCGGGTTTGTCCTCTGGCTTTAACCAAGTGGATACTGAAAAAGAACATCCCAGAGACACTGATCTTGGCCCTGAAACTAACTCTTCCCACCTGGGGGAAAGAATCCAGGAAGCCAGGTGTCGGAGAAACCCTTTAAAGGGAAAACAAATTAGACAACAAACATCTTTCAGAAAGCAGTTAATAGCTTACGGTGTTCAACTGTAAATATACCACCAAAAGCAAGAGAAGGGCATCTTCATTATTAGATTTTAAATATCTTTAAAAGTTAACAAATTTTAAACTGTGATTTTCCTTCTAAATGTGTCATCTGTTTTGGCTCCTGGGCCTAATTCTTTCTACTGAAATCTAGGCAACCTCCAGACAGAACCAACTTAACTGCCATCTCCGCCATTCCTTTATGCTGGTAATATCCCCAGTATCCGCCTCAGAAGGAAGTCCAAGCTCAGCCAGAGTCACAAATGCTCAGCCCCTAGGGGCTCCCGGACTGCTGGCCTGGGGACATCTTAGTGCAGTATTTATGATCCAAGCACAGCCCAAAGGCCTTTGTCCTGGGTTTGAAATGTCACACCTGGGAGCAGACACCCTGCGGGAGCCGCCCCCACCACAAGTATTGCATCTGAATGAGACACAGAAAAATTTAGCAGAGCTGCAGAGCCATCAGCTGATCTCTGCTCTTAGCAATAAATACTAATCTTTGACTTCAAACTGGCGGCCAAGGGGAAAAAATCTTAAGTAATGGCTCACAGTGCACTCTAACTAGCAATTTGTACAAAGCAGGCATCCGGATTGAAACCTGTTCCAGTCTTTCATGGAAATTTTTCCTGATTTGGGGGACGAATGAGGTTGTGCTTCCTTCTAGCAACAAAGGGCAAACTTCTACTGTTTTAAAACAAGGTCCAAATTGGCCCTTACCCTAAACGTTGCAGCTCCGTGTCTTAGAAAGTGAAGTCCAAACAATATGACTCAAAGATGAAATATAGTAATGATACACCATGCCAAATATAAACGTCTATTCCGATGTTTACTCCAGACTGAACACCATAAAAGCAAGTGCTTAGTAAAATTATAAGCCTTTGCCAACTTTCTTTTGATCATATAATCAAGTTTACTCATGCTTTACCTTTACTTACCATTGTTATTAAATAACCCTTGACATTTATTTTGTTGGCACGTGCTAACGAACACACACATTCCCAGGAGAGCAGAGGAGCAACCGCAGCCCAGCGCACTCTGCCTGTGTGAAGTCAATTATACCCAGCCCCCGTGCCTGGGGATGCTGGGCTGCAGAAACAGTTGCTGTGGAAACAGATTTGCCTTGGCATTTCTGGCGGAGCCAAAACCGCTGAGTAACTTGCCTGCAGAAAAGAGCTGGAATAAACATAGCTTTCCCCCTCTTAATTTGGACTCCATTCTATGAAGAATATAGATTAGACACTACAAAGGAAAACTCTTCATACACAACTTCTTTTACTATAACTTGGTGTTTCTTTTATTGAATCATACAAATTTGAAAGGGGATTCCTGAATGTATCTTCTCATTAATTTATCTTTGGCAGAAGCAACAGATTTCAAAACATCTAGTAGCTTCTCACCTATATGCAGCTTTACAAAAAATTCTATAGTATTTCAAAACAACACTCTTAAACAGATGTGCTTTAAAAGTTAACTGGTAATGATTTATATCATAGCTTCTTAAAGAGAACAGGTACTTAAAAAGGACAGACTAGACATGTATTTCTTTTAAAAAATACAATTTTTGGTCATGTGCATGATTCATGTTCAGATTTCAAAAATAGAAAACAACCTAAAGTGCATCATTTTATTTATAACTCCTTGAAATTATAGCAATCTGCAATGTAAACAGAGCAAAGAATATCAAACTATATTTTCACGTACATTTAAATTTGTAGGTACCGCCTTTAAGTGTGTGGATTAAAACCAGGGCACTTTTAACACACAGCTCATGCTTCTACGTGATTAAGAGCAAACATAAAAGCATTCATTTCCCCATGCTCCACCTGAGCAGCTTCCACCTGACGGAGCTGCTGCCGTGAGTCCACAGTGGTGCTGCACTATATCCAGTCTGCCACGTGTTTCTCAAGACCCACTTGCGGGGCGGGGAACCAGGAACTGAACTCAGGACCTTGCACCTGCCAGGCAGGCGCAGAGTCACTGAGCTACATCCCTGGCCTTCGAGACCCATTTTTACAACTGAAAACCAGTCAGGATGCTTTTACGTTCTCTTCCTTTTAAAACAAAATTGTACCCTTTAAGAAGGGAATTCTCCAAACAGGAGGACATCCCTGTTGTCCTGACCATCACACAGCACCGCCTTCAAGACACAGCCTGCTGGACACTGTCTTGTCACCAGCCGTGCTGGGCTGCACCCCACAAACACAGGCAGACACAGAAGGTGAAGAACAAATCATAAGGTGATGTCAAGCACACTGAAGAGATGAATGACTCGGTGTCTTAAATTCCCTGGTCCCTCCAAAATGTCTAATATAGACAGCTTTATAACAGTCTGAAAACATTAGAATCAAATTTGGCCACATACCATTATTTTTTTTTTTTCTATACATGATCTTGAAAGTAGTTTGACTTAGATTCTGCCTTGAGCTACAAGATTCTGCTTGTAGCGCTCAGGGCTACAGTTAACTGCATTTTAGTGCAGATTTGCTTTCTTAAAAAAATTAAAATCTGGTAAGTATTCAGGAGACACAGGCTTCCTCTCCTGTTATCCTCAGCAGTTAGGCTTAGAATTAAGCAGGACCCTTGATGTTTGGCTAGGGCCACAACCAAACAGGCTACATAGGCATGCGGTCCTCAGTTAGTGTTGGCTATGAAACGGGAGAGTATTGAGGGCAGCAACTCAGTAAACACTCGCCAGGCTTCACGTTCCCTGCTTTTACATCAGCATTCATGCGGCTGCAGCTGCAATCCCTCTGTCCTCTGAGGGTGACCAGGTCCTCATCAGGGGCTGAAGGGCTCTGTCAGCTCAGGAAGTCCTGAGGAGCGGCCATACGGCCACTGTGGGCGGCAGTAGCTTCCATCTCCCCAAGAGCTGGAGGGGAAATCTGTGCAGACGAGCGGGGAAAGCGCAGCTCTGTGGAAGGGACACTAGAATGGCCAAAGCAGCAGCAAGTAGGGCTCCAATGCATGGTCACAACTGGGCTGAGGGAGAGCACGGCCCTCCCTCGTAAGCTCGCTCTGCAGAGGAAGGTCCTGAGCTTGTTCTCATCACAGTTAGACCGAGGTGGCCTCGCAGTTATCCAGGGAAGAACTCGGCTGTATCTACTGTAGTGACTCATCGCTGCAGTGTTAGTAACTCCTGTGTGTGTGTGTGTGTGTGTGTGTGTGTGTGTGTGTGTGTGTGTGTAGCCGGCTTGGCTTCCCCATTATGAAATTCTTCAGGCAGGTCACATTCGTCTTCCTCGAGAGACAGTTCCCGAGGCAGGAGCTGGAAACAGGCCTGGAGGCAGAAGGGCTGCTTGCCCTGCGTTTCCGGCTCCAGGAGGCTGCCTTCCAGAGCTCCACCGGAGAGCAGTAAACCTGCCGTGCACCCAGCAGCCCCTGGGCCGGCCAGGCCAGGCCGCCCTCACATGGCCTTGGTGCCAGCGTCTCTCTTGCTGATGAGCGCCTCCAAGAGCCTCAGCTTCGCCTTTATGTGCTTGTACTCACTGTATTCTTCAGTCACGGGAATGCGGTCTTCCTTCTGGGTGTTTCTAGTGGAGACAAAGCAAAGGGGGCTGAAGACCATTTCCTGTCTCTCCTAGACGATACTGTGCCCCAGGCAAAGTCATCATGCGGAAGCTGCAGTTTATCAACCTGTACAATCAGTACGGACAAATGTCTCCTGGCATCAAGATGGGGCTGGAGTTAGATAATTGGTGAGAGACAGTTTTCCCCTGACGGCACCATAGTCCTGAGTTTTTCTAGAGTTAACCTAGCATCTTTTAGAAGGACTAAGCAATGCAGAAATTCTCTCTTAAAAGTATGATTTCATGCTGAGTTCTATTAACAAATCCTTTATTTCTACTTAAAGATTTTCATTTTTATATATTTTGCCTAATGAACCATTAAGTTTCTAAATAGCAACTGGTACAGCCTCAGCTGACAGGCTTTTCAAGAACAGGTAGGCGATATTCCTAGTTCTAAAATGGTCTTGGAATTCAGCAGTTGTATCTCATACTCATAAGTCTTCAGGTAAATGTGCAATTTTACATATGAATTTTTATATACACATGTATTTAGGGCTTACCATGGGTCAAGCACTGTACTGAGTCATTTGTACCCACCCAACACCAGCCAGGTGTGAAGGTGTCACAGTCATACTGCACACGTGATGACACTGGAGAGGGTGGCTGGGCGCCTGCCCCCGGGAGACGCGCAGGCCAGCACTGGCACCAGGGCTTCCCTTTCGTGTTATAGAGCACGTGTGAGCAGGGGGCGGTAGCATGGAGTTTAATTTGCTTAACAAACTAAAATTAAACTCATTTTACTCGCGCTCTGTCTTCTAGGAAAGGATTCTAGAGGGCCCTCCGCTGAGGGCAAGGACCAGGCCTGGGAATCAGCATCAGCCTCTGTCACCGAGCACCTTGGGGAGGGCCGCGCTCGCCTCGGAGTGAATGGACACTGTTGGTCCCTCTGGTCAAAGATTTTTGACAATGAAGTTAATTCCAACATTTATACTTTGGGGGACACTCTAACAGGCTTATCTGTATTCTCTAAATACCTTGCAACATATGGAAAAGGAAAAGCAAACATTCAGGTGTAAAATGTAGAAATCTTGAAAGTCATTGCAGAGCAGAGCCAGATCAGAGATACTAAAAACAGATTCACACAGCAGTTGAACTAAATGGAATCCAACACATTTTAAACCCCAAAGTCAGTTTTTAGGGTGCTTTTATTCCCTAAGCTTTGGGATGCTCTGATTTGGACTAGCACAAGGCCAGCTTAAAATGACAAATCCCTACTCCAAGGCGGGACAAGTACATCTACCCCCAGCTCCTGCTGTGACTGAGCGAGACCCTGGTGCAGTCCCTTGGAAACGTGAGACGACTTCTTTGCAGACTATGTCTATAGTTTTTTCATTCAGCCTGGACAACTATCATCTTTTTTTTGTCTATTTGCGGTAATGAGGACCGAACCTAGGGCCTTGTGCATGTTAGGCAAATACTCTGCCACTGAGTCACATCTCTGGTTTTTATTTTTAAAACAAGCTGAAAAATCAGTGATGATTTAAAGCCTCCTTTCCCTTATTTCACCGTTTTTTTAATATAAAAAGATAAAACAAAATTTCATTACAAAATAGGAGAATAATAACAGTTACTGCATTATATGTTATCTTTAAAGTAGTTGCTCAGAGTACAAAATATGAGCATAAAAATTTCTCCGACCTATATTAGCACAAACCTTCCTTTTTAATGATCTAAGGGACACTAATAGTATAACTGACTTGCATTTTTCCCTTTACTGTCTTTCCCCTTTCACCCATCCTAGTTCCTTTTTCCTTTAGAACAATTTCATCCCATTTCACAATATCTATTGTACATTTTAGACCTTATTTACTTTTTCAGTTTCTCACACAAGGGAGACAATACAATGTTTACACATGTGGGTCTGATTTATTCCACTTATGAGTATAGTCTCAAGTTGTATCCATTTACCTAAAAAAGCCTCAAATTTATCTTTTTTTATAGCTGAGTAATATTCCATTGTATAAAAAGACCACAGCTTTTTAATTCCTTCCTCAGCTGATGGGCATTTGGGTTGTTTCCAAAGTTTAGCTATGACAAATTGTGCTGCAATAAACATGGGTGCACATATGGTATGATGTTTTTAATTCTTCTGGGAAGATACCCAGATGGGGAATAGCTGGGTGGAATGGGACCTCTTATTCTAGCTTTTTGAGGAATCTTCACAATGATTTCCACAGTGATTGCACCAGTCTACACTCCCACCAGCAGCGAAGAAGGGTTCCTTTTTCCCCACAGTCTCTCCAGCATTTGTTATTGGTCGATTTCTTAATAATAGCTATTCTTTTTGGGGTGAGATGGAATCTCAGTGTTGTTTTAATTTGCATTTCTCGAATGACTAATGATGTTGAACATTTTTTCATATATTTATTTGCTATTTGTATCCCTTCATCTGAGAAGTGTGTATTCATCTCAGATGCCCATTTATGGATTGGGTCTTTGGATGGGGGGGGGTGCGGGGGCGGATCTTTTTTTTTTTTTTTTTTTTTTTTTTTTTTGTGCCAAGAATGGAACTCAGGACCTTGCGCTTGCCAGGCAGGCGCTTGCGTAGCTGAGCTATATCCCCGGTCCCCATAATTTTTCAATTCTTTGTATGTTCTAGGTGTCCTCTGAGGGACAATTGGCTAAAATCCTTCTGGTTTCGTTAAAAAAATGCTTTCAACTTGAAATTCTGAGGCAGGCTGCCTGTTTTAGATGAGAATTGGATGTGACAGGTTAGTTTTATAAGTGCTAGCTGAATCTGCCCTGGTCTTGGACATCAGCCAAGAAGCAAATCTCATCGTCTGTCTTGCCAGAGTCTGAGTGCCTGGGCACAAACCCCAGGCCCAGCCCCGGGTGGATGCGGATGCGGATGCGGATGCGAAGGAGCTAGGGCTGCGCTCCAGGAGCCAAGCACAGGGCGGAGCCAGGGCTGAGGGCGGGGAGGAGGGAGGGGGACGCACACTACCTTCCATTCTGTCTGAAAAAATTGTCTTCAAAATCACGAAGTTTCTTCCGAATCCTCTTCTTTTCTTCCCTCATTTCCTGAAGGTGTTCCAAGAGCTCAGGTCTAAGAGGTAGAAAACAATGTCCAGAAAGTTAAATCTGCGCTGCCGGGCAGGAGATGAACCGCGGCGGGGCTGTGGAGAGGGGCGCACAGCTGGCAGGCGGGTGCCCGCTCGGAGGCCGGACGGGGGGAGCAGGGCGCGGCCCCCGGCTCCCGCCGCCCCCCGAGCCGAAGCCGGCGAAGCCCGCGCGCTCGGGGTTCCCGACAGGGAGGCGGCTGCGCAGCGCACGCACAGAGCAGGGCTGGCAGTTCAGGGAGCAGGGCAGGAAGCATCGAGGCCTGACCCAGGATATTTTTCTTTTAAATCGCTGTTTTCTCCACACACACTCACCCCATTAAGTCTCTAATGTTTTGTCAGCCCCTTATTTGAATACAAGGCTAAGACGCGCTTAATGAAGGCTATTTTTACGAAACTATTTCAACACCACTACTACAATGACCTACATTGAGGCGGCGTGGAGATTTGAAAGCCCGGTGTCCTGGCTGCATTTTGATGGTATTTTGTCATCCATTGGGGAAATAAACCCATCAGCATCATCTTCGAATTGGTCCAGGAAGCAGCGTGCACTGAAGTCTGTTTCCAGGGTGACTGTGAAGTCCGGCTTCGCGTGGCTGTCGTCTTCCGAGCCCTCCTCTTCCTCCTGGAGACACACAGCGCGGTGAGCACCTGTCCCCCCGCTGCACGCACTCTCACTGGGAGGGACTGAGTTACCTAGTCATCCGCGTCCCCCAGAGCTGCTTCTGTGCCTGCTCAGACCTGGAATACAAGCGCCCTTACAAAGGCCAAAACTCGGGGGGCTTTTCCCGATTCTCTCGGCTGCGCCTTCAGTCCTATTGCTCGGTCCAGAGAAGGAAATGCCTCGGCAATCTACACGTCGTCAGAAAAACACTGTAACATTTACAGTCCAAACCTGACCTTTTAAATGAATAATTTGGGGGGTTTTTTGGTAGGAGGAATAACAATTCCCATATGGTTTTATTTTTTAGTTTTATTATTTATTTATTTATTTATTTATTTATTTATTTATTTATTTATGTTTTTGGTACCAGGAATCGAACTCAGGACCTTGTGCTTGCCAGGCAGGCGCTTGTGCCGCTGAGCTATATCCCCGGCCACCTATATAGTTTTATAAGAATTAACTGAAAAAAAATTAAATAGAAGCAGCAAACAAACAAAAAAGAATTAACTGAGGTTCGCTGACTAGGTTTCTTTGGCCTGACAATCTAGGGCTTCAGAATGTGCACTGGCTCTATTTCTTACCCAGCTACTTCTTCCCATGAGTGATTAAAAACAGGGGTGGGTTGTAATGAAACTTCTTAGATACATCTTTCTTCACTGTAGGGTCACCAAATTTTAAATTGTATCCCATTGCCAGGAATTAATAAAGTACAAATACAGGGTAAGAAGCTTGGCCAGTTGGAACAAAAAGAACCAGAGAACAGTGTTATTTACAAAAGCAGTGTAATCATTGCAAAATTATCTGAAATTTTGACCATAATGTGTGCCAACAGACAATAAGCCAGGGCCAAAATATTCTCGTAAAAAAAAAAACAAACAAAAAAACAAAAGGCTAAAAATAGGAAGAATGACCTCTTATAAAAAGAGTACCATCAGGATATTCATTTTTTCAGCTGCGGTATTTTAATTCTTATGTTATTTGCCAAAATTTCTTCATCAACATAAAGGCTTATTAAGAAAATTGCCTGGGTTTGTGTGTGTGTGTGTGTATGTGTTCGTGCACTGGGTATAGAACCTAAGGCCTCATGCATGCTAGGCAAGCACCGAGCTACATTCCTGGTCACAATAGTTTTTGTTTTTTGGTACTGGGAAATGAACTCAGGGCCTTTGCACAGAGCTACATCTCTAGCCCCTTTTTAAAATTTTTAAAGACACAGTCTCACTAGATTGGCCAGGCTGAACTGAAATTTGCAATGCTCTTGGATCAGCCTCCCAGAGTGAGTGCTAGGTCTACAGGTGTGTGCTACTCCACCAGGCACACAACAGCTCCACTTTTTAAAGACACAATGGCTCAGATTTTCCAATCCATGTTTTAGAACAATTTCATAAAACAAGTTCTGTTTAAAATAGTATGAATGGTGAGCAGAATCATTGCCTAATATCTTAAAGCTATCTCTAAGAGGTAGGAATAGAAGAACTGGTAGCTTATGGTACCTTATCCTGAGCTCCAGAGAAAGTTCTCAGTTGGTATCCCTCAGTAGGAAAGATGATTCTGAAAGCATCATTCCTAACTACAGTTCCCACTCCCCAGGCTTTGAACTGTCCCAGAAATATGATAGGTAAAACTCTTAAAACTCACTTTTGCTTTGGGATTAATTCCCTCTATGGACCTAAACCACTGCTAAAAATAAACATCATTTTTAGAAAATAATTGCCTTTGATCTTTCATTTCTAGAACGCTCTAGAAGGCACTTAAGTCCCTTTACAGCAGTGCAGTTTGTGCAGGTATCTAGAAACGGAATGTGAAAAAGGCCGGTCCTCGAAGAGGCAGCGTGAGCCCCACAGAGGGTCCCTGGTCCTGGGCAGATTGTGCCTCGCGGCCCAGCGATGCCAGCAGTGCAGATGGGGCAGGGGCGCAGAATCCCTAACTACCACTGGAGAAACCCAGACACACGCTCTTGTGATTGCCCACCCCAGCACCACGTCCACAATGGAGAAGAGTATAAAATTGATGCCGAAGAATAAACACACTGGGGGAAAGGAGTGGGTTAAACTATACCGGCAAAGCAACCAAAGACAACACAGTTGTTCACTATAAAAGCATCATTTGGGATTTGTGTTACGGTGGCACCTTGGTTCACAAACACTTCTGTTTACACACAGAATGTCAGGCAAAAGTTTGTTTTTGTTCGCAAACTCTGCATGGAGTGAGCAGCAGGACCATGGCCATCTTCCCCACACAAACGTGACTGTGGCCATCTTTTCCAAAACCAGAGAACAAATTAAGTTTGTGAACTGAGGCACCACTGTATATGTATTGCTTTTGTTAATTCTGGTTTTTCTATACATTCAGTGTATGAATTAAAAAAAAAAAAAAGTGTTTTGTTCCAAAGAGTTAATTTAACATTTTGGAGTACAGGAAATCATTCCCCAAATAGGGAAAACAAGCAAAACAAAAAAGCAGCATGGAAAACAAAATAATTCCTGAAGGCAAAGTCAAAACAAAAACAACAATACATAAAGAGGGGAGAGAGCAACTAAAGAAATCAGGGAGCCTCTAATAAAGGGGCTCACTCTGAGGTGGTATGTGCAAATAAACATCAGCTAAGGGCACAGGCACACCCTTCCCACGGGCGGGAGGCAGGGATGGGATTCAGCAGGGGTTGCGGGGCTCTTCACCTTTATCTCCTTGAAGAAGGAAGCAGTTTCACCTTCGATAATTGGCTGCAGCAAAGGGCTTCTCCGCTTGCTGGAGGGGGACCCCTGTGACAGGTGTTAACAGCAGGTTACACTGGGCACCTCCTCTCGTCCCCTGGCCTCTTCTGCCCACCCCAGTATTTATCACTGTCTCTTAACTGTCTGGCTTTAAGAGGCTCCTAGGAAAACCTACGGCAACTGAAGTTCTTTTTCAAGCTGCTGCTTCCCCCCCTGAGTCCACACAGATCACCAGGAGCAGTAACAGCACTGGTCCGTGTTGAGCGCACAGTCACGAAAACCCCAGGGAGAAACGGCCTCCCACTTTCTCCCCTCCAGGCAGTGACTGTGAGGACCCTAAGAAAGCAGGCTGAGCTCACAAAGCCACCCGAGGTCATCTAGCTTCTCTGTTATTCATCACCATATTTAGGGACCCAAGGGTTCCTAACTGGAGAAAGAAGTGATTCTTTAGATCGAATCTCTCATTACTTTAATTTATCCTACAGGAATTTGTAGAACAGTAGCTTTCTGGCTCCTCTCATTCATTAAAAACTAGTACACTGCTAAAGGGAACTTAAATGGGAGTAAACAAGGGGATTTAAGGAAGGGCTGGACCGTAGGTGGATGCGTCTCAATAGCGACATCAGAGCGAGCTGTTGGGAGGAGGGCACTGAAGCAGGAAGTGCTCTGGCACAGATGGGCTGGGCAGCCTGCTGCAGACACTGCCCAAAGGTGCCCATGCTGCAGGCAAGCTGCTGTCCCTACTCCTGATAAGAGCAGGATCAGGGCCCTGAAGCAGCTGAGTACAAGAGTGGCGGCCAGGAAGCACCTCAGCCATTAGCCTCTCTCCCTTTCTTTCCACTCTCTACATTCCCTGCAGCCACCAAGAAGAGCAATCTCTCTCTGTGACTTTCTAGAAGATTCTCCCTGGATCTGACTCCCAAGGGAGCTCTCCCTGTCATGGGTGGGGAGACTGTCAACAGGGGGCCTTTGGGACCATCGAGGCCCTCTGCGGAGAAGATGTGGCACAAGGCATAGCTCTTGTCCCCCTGTGCTCTGTTGCCCAGGAAAGGGCCAGGGCACATATCAGGTCTGTCTCCTAAAAAGGGGGACCCCTACTGGCTTGAGACTGGCTCATTTTTGGCTCATTCTGGCACAGCCCTCAGAAGTTGCTGACAAGAGTCTTCATGTTTTGAACGTGTAGGCCAAGGACATCAATGACTGGCTCAGCTATTACAGTCTGAGAGGAAGTGAGGGCCTAAACAGACATTGCTCAGCTGCAAAGGCAGGATAAGGTCAGGAAGGTACAGCACTCACAATGATCGGAACAGTGTTGACCCGGGACAAGATCTGTTTGACCAGCCGGTACCTGTCATACAGAGGCTTCATAACCTGACGTTCAGTCTTTGTCACCTGAAAAGCAAGAACAAGACTGCTAAGAAGGCTGCTCCCAGAGGTCATGCTACCACCTGTCCAAATGTATTCTAGGTCTTCATTTTGGTCCTACAGAAAAACAGACCATGCAGTTTAAGTCTTACCATTTTTAGAAGATGTGTCTAAACTGACACTATTATTTATTCAGTAAATATTTAAAATACCTACTTCAGCAGTGGAAAGCACTCCATTGGTAGTATTGCTTTACATAGGTCAAAACTACAATCATTCTTCAGTTTCTGCCTATACCTTCTCAGGGTTCAAAGTTTCCAGGTGACTTACTAGTTTCTGGGCCCCAGAAGGAGAAAGCGTGCTTGTCTATTATGAGACTTATCATGAGGGGCTGTAGTCAATTTATTTACATGCTTTTTCTCCCCCATGAAACTGTGTTTTTAGAAACAAGATTCTAGCACATAGAAGCCACTCAAGGAACATCTGCTGACAGAACACAAGGGTGATTCATCCTCCTTTCCCTAAAATTTGGCCCAGAGTTCTAAGTGGAAATGGCTTCTCCTCTGCTCCTCTGTTTGCCAGATTCCAGACCCAGAACCATCTCTCTGCACAGCCTTCTTCCAACAGCACGCGCCCCAGGAGACTCAGTCTCTGCTTTACGGCACCAGCCCGCCCTGCATGCACCTTGTATTTCACAGACATTCCGTCCTGGGTTGTCACTGTTTGTTCACCCTTCTGTCTCCTCCTTTTGCCTGCAATCCCTTGAGACCAAGAGTTTATGTTTTTATAACCCTAGTAACTATTTCAGTGCCTGACATAATGAAAGTGTCCCACAAATATTTACAAAGGGGAGGGCGAGGACTTTAGAGCTAATCAGGTGTATATTTGCAGGTATGTATATGCGTTTTCTTTTGGTTGCTTCAGTGGGGAATGAGGTGAGGTAAATTTCTGTCAAGTTAAGTCTGTCTGCTACATTCTACTACCACTGCAAGTGTCATCAAGCAAGAGGGCAGGGGAGTTAGCTGTGACCATTGCTTTTGTGGGTCTTCTGGCCCTTCAACTTCAAAATTATTCATAAAGGGTTATTCTCTAATACCATTTTAAAGGATTATTCATAAAGAATTGCCCTTTGTTGCCTTTTGTGTTTGCATTTCTCAGAGTGATCACCAGTAAGTACACTTTGGATAAACTTCACAAGCTGAGATTGGCTATTGCCACTATGCAAACCATTTTGCGGATTTTCTATCATTGGCAATCATCATCATCATCATCATCATCATCATTATAATAACAACAACAACCTGTTATTTCTGTTGCTTCCCTATCACAAGTGTTTGGCCTGTTCTTGACTTTCCTATTCACCATATGAACTGCTGACAAACCCGGGTGTAGTGGCGCATGCCTGTAATCCCAGCACTTGAGAGTCTGAGGCAGGAGAATCACCTTGAGTTCAACACCAGCCTGGGCCAGTGCAGGCCTATAAGGCCAGTGCAGCCTATAAAGCAAGACCTTGTCCCAAGGGGGAAAAAAAGATTGACAAAACTATAAAATGACCCATAAATGATTTCCCTTGAAAAAGGGTAAGAATCAAACCATAGATGTTACTACTACCCACCTACACAAGGCTTACACAGAAAGAGACAAGGTCAAGTTCCAGCAAGCAGGGTGAACAGCTGGAATGCTGCTCCATGCAGGAAAGGTGGAGACTGGAGAATTATTTGCAGTGTCTAATAGGATTGGACCTCTGACTCGCCAGTCCCCACTCAAGGATATGATAAACACAGCCTCTGAAGTTCCCTGGGCCTCACTTTCCTGACTGGTAGTCAGTCTGTGAGGACCCACAACTGTTTGGAAAGGACTTTAGGCCAAACATACAGCAAACTATCTTTAAATCCTTTCATTCCTCTCTCAAACTTTCATTTTCATTTGAGGGGGAGTGCTGAATGGTTGTTATTGTGTGGAAAATTGGGTATTAAGATGTATTTTTTGTACCCAGATCAAAACAACACAAATGTCTAGATAAGAAGATCTAATGGGAGGGGCAGTAGTTCCACTCTGTCTTCGCTTATGATTTAAAAATGTTTTCTACTGTTCATGTACTACCCTCATTTTGGTTGCTCTGTAAGACTCAGATAATATTTCAAAACACAAAGGGGCTGGGGATATGGCTCAGTGGTAGAGCTCTTGCCTTGTATGTACGAGGCTCTGGGTTCAATCCCCAGCACTGCAAAAATAAACTGAAATAATAAAATAAAAACAAAACCAAAGAGGATGCTAGCCGATAATTACCCATACTGAATAAGTGGCATGTCTTGAACAGAAATCATAAAGTACTGATCACATAGCTGCTTTTACCGGCCTTTATCTTTTGTGATGTTTGTCTTTGCATCAAATACACTTCTCTACATCAGTTTGGTTGCAGTTACTTTGACAGATCCAAAAAGTGAATGGTGAAGACTGACAATTTTACTCTGAAAATTAGAGCCGTGGAATCTTAGCACTAGATGCAAAGGACAATGATTTGCCCAAAGCAATACTGCTGAGTCAAGGACCACAGGGCCAGGGGTATAGCTCAGTGGTGCAGTGCCTGCCTGGTGAGCACAAGGTCCTGAGTTTGACTTCCAGAACCAATTAAAAAAAAAAAAGGAAGAAGAAAAGAAAAAAGAACCGAATGAATGAATGACTGACTCCCAGTCCAGTTTTCTATCCATCCACAGATACGTGAGATGTGAGGAAGGGTGATCTTGCCGTGTCACTGTCCAAGAGGGCTTGGCCAAGCTGTCCTCTCAATAGAAAAATTCTGCCCTCTACACTGAGAATTCTACGTGGAGTTTACAAAGACCTTTGCTTACAAAAAGTGGCATAAAAGCACAATTTTGTAAAAAGTTGAGCTTTTGCTAGATAAGGAACTATACTGCCTCAAAATCCAGTAAAACAGAAAGTGGTTTGCGTTTGTGTGTGGAGAGCTACCTGTGAGTCATAGAACTGTCAGAAGACCAAAGGAGATGGATTCTTATAACAGTTGTACTCTCGGCCCATTAATTTGGAAAATGACAACTCTTTCTTCTTAATTGTAGGGTAATGTTAGTAGGTGGTCTGTGCAAAGATCAGAAAATCTGAGACAGCAGCTAACCAAAGGCCGGCATTTACACATGGCTCTATGATTTGCATTTAAATGTAAATCTTACTATGTTTACTGTTGTGTTAGTTACCATGGTTTGGAAATGCAATTAAAATATTCTAATGAGAAGAGGGCTGATCATGCAGCCCATTCTCTCTCCCTCCATATTTACTGTCAGAGATCCGTGTAGGCCAAAGGTAACATATACTTGTTATCCTCCTGTCACACACCATTTCTTGAGATGCTTACATGTTGAGAAGGAGAGACAAATAATCAGTAGGGAATGTCTATAGCGCGCTTTGTTAAAACAGCTTTGCTAAAAAAATGGACAGAAACAAAATAACTGTTTTGGCCTATGATTCTGTTAATATCCTTTCAAATAAGAATCTGTAGATTTAGGAAGAAAAGAGTTCTAAAAGTGCCCGCTTTTCTGAAAAATTGTGGTTTGGAATGATAGTTTAGCTCTGGAAATGCAAGTATCATCCAAATGGTATTTATAGTCCCATGGTAACAGCATAGGTCTAGGAACTGGAAGTTCACTCTCTGGTTTTCAGACTGGTCCAATGTCAAATGAACTCTGCTTTTTCTTAGGAGGTTGGAGCATCGTGTTCCAAAGAGAGAGGCAGAGAATCTGGCCTGGGTCCAGAAACAAAATGACACTCAGATTCCCTAGAGTATTTGTTCCTGCCCTATGAGCTGCTGGAATCTGGACTCCATCTGAAAGCATGGTGAAAGACAAAGGAACAAGGCAGGGCCATGGACTAATGTTTCATATTCCTGATGATAAGGGGGTAAAAAAAGGTAACCTTCTTTCTCTGATTTCATCATTTAATCAGAAGTAGGCCACAGAGAGAACATATAATTGTACCAGAGGTGAAAAACATCATTTACTGTGTCACCCGCAAGGCCAGGCTGGCCCACTTCCTCAGGGCCAAGCAAGGTACAGGTAAATAGATAGATATACTATAGATACAGTTGCCTGTGTGTCTGCAGTATCACTTCATTTCCATGACAACCCCTAACAGACAGCTTCTTTATAAACAAAGCACCCACGGTCCAAAAGGTCACCAGCTCCGAGTTCTGAGTCCAGTCTGTGACTGGAAGGTGCATGGAGTGTGCCACTGCCACACGCCAGGGGAATGAGTGAGGCTGCCCAGCTTGGAGTAACAAATACCACATGGGGAACTAGCAGCAAGGTTAAGTCGATCTAGCATGCAGCTGGGTGCTTTTGGAGCCTTAGGCAAGGAGTCCTTGAAAGAGTCTATCAATGTCACAATCGGAATCTACAGCAGGAAAAAAAGAAGCTACAGGAAGGAACACACACAGCTTCATTCCAGCCTGCCTGGGGCCTGTGAGACCACGCCTGGAATTCTGAAACTACAGCAGAACATGGGTCCTCTTTGTCCACAGAAGTTTGGTTTTACCTGTGCAAGTTCTGAAAGCTCCACTAGGGACAATGAAGTTTCACAATATATTTGAGTTCTAGACCATTTATATTTACTTTATTCTTTTTTTGTTTTGTTTTTTTTCTGGTACTGGGAATTGAACTCATGACCTCGCTCTTGCCAAGCAGGCGCTGTGCCGCTGAGCTAAATCACCAGCTCCTGTATTTACTTTAATGCCTCTAAAAAATCTAAAACAAAACTTGGCTTAAACATGAACATTATCACAGTGCTAGTATTTTTCCACTGCAGGGACAGGCCAGCAAAATCAGTCATCGTCAGCGCCAACATTGAAAAAAATTAAACCTGATATATTCAGAGCCAAAACTCAACAGCAAATGCATTCCACAGATTGTTATTAGGTGCACGCTATGTGGCAGGTCTGGGGTAAAGGCTGAGGACTGGTTCAGCACTAGGTGCACGATGCCCAGAACCTGTGACAGACTTCAAAACTGGTAGCTGGGGATGCAGCTCAGTGTTTACAAAAAATCTAGGAAACCAGTATATCATTCTGGAGGCTTCTTTATGTAGCAGAGTGTATTTTCTTTTTTTTTTTCTTGGTTTTTCTCCGGTACCAGGAACTGAACTCACGACCTTGTGCTTGCCAGGCAGGCGCTTTGCCGCTGAGCTAAATCCCCAGCCCCGCAGAGTGTATTTTAGATGACAGGACTTTATCCATTATACCGTTACAGTTAAGACTGGAAAAGAGACCTATGCTCTTTGGCTATATAAAAACCCACCTGTGAACCTAAACTTTATGCTTCCTTCTAACTGCTTTTAAGAATTTGTTTTGTGAACAGAAGGTGAAGAGTAACTGACAGAAAGGATGTCTGATTACAGTTCTAGAAAGAGAGCACGAGTTACCCATTCTACTGTCTTCCCCACAGCTAACAACAAACGTTCAGTAAATGCTTGCTAAATAACAAACTACCTCAGAAAGGCAGGGACATGTTCTGGGTGCTTCCCGCTTTTGCTTCTGAAAGCAGCTGGTGCTTCTTCAGAGACAAACACTGGTTGCAGCTGCATTTCAGGAAGATTTGAGTTTTAGGGCACAGCGTTGTAGCTTAACCCCTGAACTTTATGGGCTAAGAGAGGCTAAAGCTAATGGCAGTCTATGGGATGGGGCAGTCTCTTGCTTGGGGGCTCTGTCCCCCCACACGCTGCTCCCCATCTTTTCCCACCTTGAATAGGACTTAGGGATTCAACTGTAGTTGCAAATGAACTTTCTTTTTAACTTTAATTCAGTGTCTGCTAGATAACAGAAGACCTCTTAGAGGTTAGCCTTCCCAAAAGCTTCAATATAATGTGATATGCAGTAAACCTCCTTTAACTAAATGCAAAGAGAACAAACCGGAGGGAACCCTATTGATAAGACACTGACATAGAAAATCCATTTCCAAAGCCAGATCACTGACCCCAGTCAGAAAATTCAGCCCCACATACCGGCCGGCCGTGAATGCTTTCATAATGCAGCAGGGCTTTCTGCAGGGCCACTTTCTCATTAGCGATTTGGTCTTTGGTCATATCCTATATAAACACAGGGATAAGAAATGAAAGATGGAAAACATTTGTGAACACCCCAACTTCTTCATTTAGTCAAATAGATCTACTACTAAGGCAGGTTAAAAGAATCCCTGCACAGCCGCTCCCCCTGGCTCTGCCCAAAGTTTACTCAGAAAAGCCATTTCTGACCTCTTGCCAGCAGCACAAAGCAGCCGAATGGTCCCGGCTGCCTCATCTCCCACACGGTGGCGGCAGAGGCGAGCTCGCTACGGAGGAAAGCAGGGCTCCGGGAACGTGGGGCTTAGTTTAGCTGCCCAAGTGATGTCTATGGTTATAGGTTACACAGGCCTGCGGGTTTGTCTGTCTTTGATCCTTCTACCCCAGAGTCATCAAACTGCCATTAGCCTCACGAGGTTCCTTCTGTAATCTACAGAGCTGTCTGTTTTCGATCTCTAGTCAAAAACCAAAGTCCCCGCAGATAAAACACACTGCAGTCATTTCATCTATTACTGTAGAAGTGTGAGAGAGCCACAGAGGGGCTGCTTCCCACAGGGATCCCCGGGGAAGCCCTGTGCTGCCGTGCCCTGCTGGTTGCCAGGGCTTAGGGTCAGCTGTCCCCTGCAGGGCTGCTCAGAGACACTACACCTTAATGTCCTCTGGACGGCTGCTTTCCGCTCGCTTCTCCTGGAGCTTCCTCTGGATGGATTCCAGGGTGACTTCAACGCTGGGCTTGAGCGCTTTGTCTACCAGCTCCTGCTTCTTCTCATCCTCTTTTTCAAGTTGGGAACCGAAACTCTTGGGGAGTGTGTTACTTCGCTGCCGCATCCTGGGGGTTAGGTCCTCTTCAGATATCTTTAGTTTTGATTCTAGGTGAGAAGGTTTGGGGGTGGGGATGTATGAGAAGTAGTGTCTGCTGAACCCAAGTTATTTTTCTGTGATGTCAGTAACTGCTTAGCTATGTCTTTCTTTTCAGAGCATCTAATTATAGTATCAGTTGAAATCCCTGAGTCATTATGTAAAACCCCAAATAATGATAATGTCTTCCTGGATTATCTGGAATGTTTCCCAAACCCTAATTCCTGAGAAAGTTTTAGCCCATTAACAGCCGTGCTTTTGCCACCTCAGCTGTCACCACTCTCCCATCGGGCAGACATTTTCGCACAGTGCTACCCTTGGTGGGTAAAGATGCGTCCTGCTCTGACACTCAACTGGCTAATTTCTGCATGACTTCAACACCACATTTTCGCATTATTTAACTTCTATTCCATTCAGCTGTTTATAGGACTATCTCCTAAATGAGAGCAAGCTATTTGAGGGAAAGGGGCCAGGTGATTTCGAGATACATCTCTGTGTCCACAAGTCTCCTCCTAACGTCAAAACACATGAAGCCCGGGATTAAGCAGGTGTTTATAAAGTGTTGGCTTGAAACCATCATCCTCCTGTTAGAGATTTGCAGAGATGTGGAAGTGCTGCAGAATTTGCCTCTGAGCCCATCTGTTGTCCTAGGACTGAGACCAGGAGGAGGCACAGAGGCTGTCACCCTGAAGAGCATCTGCAGCCCTGGGTTACTCCAGCAGAGCACTCAGCTCAGGCTGAGGGACAGACTCGGCCCCTGGCTTGGTGTGCAGAGGACACGCCACAGGCCCTGATTGTCACCTACCTTTAAGTTGTTTCCGAAATTTGGCAAGGTCATTCGTCCACTTGAGAACCTCTGGATTGGCCGCTTTGTCACTGTGGGAAGGCTGAGAAAGGAAAGTCCAGAGTGATGTTTCCAGAGGGGCAGTGGAAAGAAGCACAGTGGGCACTTGTCTTTAGTTTATGTAGCAAGGCAAAGTTGAGTTCATCAGCATAAGAAATTAGCCATGATTAGTCAGGGCAAATTCACAACACAATTCATCGTGCTTTGTCATACTAGTTATTTTTCATGCCTCTAAATAACTCAGAAGCAAAATGCTGGGTCCTTATGATCGTGGGCTCCTATGGGCTGTCACCTTTGTGGGACTGAGGACATAGAGGGAGTAAAATGTGCCCACGACTGACCAAGCTCAGGACATAATCTTTAGTTATGTTCTACCCAAAGGCTTTTAACCAATGCTCTCTCCCATTCCTGCTCATTGATAAATTTATTAATGTACAGTTAAGTGTTCACTCTTTATTTTGCTAAGACAGTGTAAGAAAACTGGCACACATGGTGGTTAGGATCTATTAGGTTTTAGTCTCTGATGTCTATGTCTTTGTTTTGAGGTTCCCTAGAAAGCCCCTTTAACTCGTATTGCTTTCTGAGTTGCTGAAAGGTGGGCCCACTAGGGACAAGAGATACAGAGACATGTGGGACACTTACTCGGTACTTCCTCTCTTCTTCAAATCTGTCCTCGAACTTTCGGATCTTCTTTTTAAGACTCTGGATCCTTCGTGTGAGCTGGGCAGGTGTCAGGTCCTCTTGCTCATCGTCATAGGACCCCAGAGAGGAGCTTCGCCGCCTGTGAGGAGGCAGCTTGGGTCAGTCCCCTCTCAGAGCCATGACAGCTGGGAGGGGCCCTGGAGTGTGGGTGCCACTGGTGCACAGGATGAGAGTCAAACCTGCCCTGTCCTCTTGAATGAGAAGCTGATGGATTCATCCTGTAACTCTAAGCTATGTCCGGCCTATTAAGTGGTCTAACTTCCTGTTGCTCACATTTATGATTACTAAACGGCCACAGTTCAGCTGCAAAGTTCCTCTAAGTCCTCATAACCTAATGTTCAGAAAACTGCTAGCCACTAGCACCATTCCAGTCTTTTCTCCTGTTGTGGGGATGGTGCCTTTGCTTATCAGCAGCACAGAGCAACATACCTCATGAAAGAGTGGGAATTGGGGGGAGAAGGAGGCACTTCTGTGTCATTCAGGTACTGCCGGCTTTGCCCATAGGCATAGAAGCGAGGAGAGAGCATGGGGTCGCTGTCCTCCTCCAGAAGCTGGCGAATCAGGCACCCGGCCTGCGGGGAGAGGCGGGCTTCCTCAGAGTCAGAGTCTTCCCGCTGCCAGGAGGAGAAGGTAGGGATGGGCTCTGGAAAATAAAGGTGGTCGGAGGTCAGAGTGTCTGGCAAATGCCACTGCTCCCAAGGGTTCCTGAAGGCTTTAGGAGGGGTGCACTGAATGATTCCTCTTTTAGATCTAAGATACCCTGACCAAACAAAATCACCACCCTGTCTGACAGCATCCATGATGATGATGATGATGATGATTAATACTGGAGATTAAACCCAGGGCCTTTGCACTGAACCACGTCCCCAGCCCTTGTTTTTTGTTTTGAGACTTAGAGTTGCCCAGGCTGGGCTTGAACTTGTGATCTTCCTGCCACAGCGTCCCTGAGTGCTAAGATTTTAAGGGTGAGATATCACACCTGTCCATTAGCTACCTTTTAGGTCCATTCTCACTTGCTTTCAAAAGAATCTGCTAGGGCTACTCTGAGGAGCAGCCTGGCCACAGTAGGCTAACAGAACATGTCAGCCTCCCTGGCAGGTCAGTGAGGAAAACCTTCCCTGTGAGGACATTATGAACAAGAAAAGCAAGTGGGTCAGAGAGGGGGGGCACCTGGCACCCGGCCCCACAGCTACCCGTCCTTCATCGGTGCAGCTATGGGTTCACATTTGTCCAGTGAGAGCCCGTGGATGGAGGGTTCACAGCTTCTGGTCAGGTCATTTGAAAGTAAGCTGTTCTGTGTGCCTCTGCTTAGTGTGTGGGATTAGCACAGTTCTGGTTCACGCTTTTCACTTAAACTTAGAGGCTGCTCAAGACAGCAGTTAAAGGGAGAAGCACACATACATTATTCAAAACAAGAAAAAAAGAACACCCGACAGAGGACAAAGCTGTACAAATTATTTCCAGACAATCTGTAAGAAAAAACTATACTCAGCACAAAATCCTGACCCTTATTTTGGAAGGCAAGAGGCTGATGTTTATTTTTATCTTCTACAAGACCTGTCTCAATTTCTTCCTCCCTTTATTAAAAAAATAAGATCTAAAAGATTTTAAAGCCAGATTTCAGGTGATATATAGTGTTTCATTTGTAATACTCTGCACTAAAAAAAATTATGCTTTAGATTCACTTGTGGATTGGTGATTTACATAAGGCTGGAATTTGCCCAGGCTTAAATTCTGGATTTCTAGATATTGAATCATGGAACAATGGCTCCTTCAGCATGAAACTATAAAATGTATACAATTATCTTAAGTACAGTCAGCTTTTTATCTAAAAAAACCATATCACAATCATAAAGCAACACAGCTGGTAAAATTTCATTCAGAATGTAGTCTTGTGATCTCTTAACCTTGCCCATGCAGTCACACGGTGAAACATAAACAACCCCTCCCCTACACACATGTAGAGGCACACGTAAAAGCTGTCCAGATGATTCTAACACACTGCCAGGTTGGAGAACCACTGGTCCAACCCAGCAGGTCAAAGGAAACTGGAAACCCAAAGAAGTGAGAGGAAACACTTCATCAAGGTCAGAGCTGGGTCTGGAAGCCCAGTCTCCAGCTCCCTGGTCAGTGCTTCCAATCAGCATGTCCTAGGGCTCCATAATGTGACGGTGGCCTGAGATTTTTGAAGACCCTCCCCCATGGTATAATAGGGGAGATAAGCACATTAATCTTGAAAACCCTAACTTCATATGGAACGAAGTCCATAGGTTCTCAAAATTTAAAGTCTCAACTTATCTAGGAATACAGATACTATGAATATTTTGAAAAATGCAAGCAGTTGTTTAAGACAGAGGCTTCTTATCTGCTGAGGTTCCACAGGCAGGGACTGTGCTGGCAGCTGCGCTTGGCAAAGGCTGGAGGCGAACAGGAGGGGCCTCACCATCTACTTTATACCAGCCCTGCCTGCCTGTGCTTGGTAAGTTGTGGCCTTGGGTGCGAGCAGCTCAGATGTGCTAACACGAAAGGGTCACACCCGGATGGAGAGGTGAGGTTCAGAGAGGGTGAGTGGAAAGTAATCTCAAGGGAAAAATAAATCTGGTGCTAAATTGCAGAAAGCGGACCTGTTACACTGTCCAGTCTGCACCTTCTATTTTATGAGACAGCAGCAGTTTTCTGGCAGAACTAAAACCAACTGAATGAGGACACGGGAAGGGTTAAGATCGCTTAAACTGCAAGGCATGGGTAGCAACCTCTCCACTGAGCAGCAAAGGAGCAGAACAGCTGGGGGAAGGGCAAGAAACTTGGTAGGGACGGAGGGCTTTGGCAAAACAGCCTCACGTTGATAACGACACATGGCTGACATTTCTACGTAACAAAAATAACTGTTTGAGAGGTAGTACATTAGCTCCCTAACCCCTTGAATTTGTCTGAGTCTAGCAGAATATCTCTTTTAAAAAGGTTACTGAGCTTTAAGGTTTCAACACTGTAGTCTCTGTGTACAAAACATTTTGTAAAAAGAGTGCCCATTAGCCAAACATGTCCCCAATAAAAGATCAATTGAATTCAACATAAAATACTAATTGTGGAATTGAATGACTATTTGACACATGGTGGCTAACATGGGGTCATTTTCAAGTTTTCTTGTTTGCTTATACCACTTTATTTAGTGGCTTTACCCCTCCCTCCTTTCCTTTCTCTTTCTTTTTTGAGACAGGGTCTCACTATGTAGTCCAGGCTGACCTTCAGTTCCAGCAATCCTTTTGCCTCAGTCTCCTGACTTCTGGCATTACAGGTGTGTACATCCTGCCTAGATGTGGCTCTGTTCTTGGCTAGTCACCTAACTAGTCCTTTTCCTGGTGTCACCAGAGGTGTATAGGAAATACACAGTGAAGAAATAACAGCCTATAGGTGCCATTTTTCTATATGGATGGATGAATGTATTCACTTATTTAAAAATGAGAAATGTAACACCATTGTGAATTTCAACTTCAACAAAATCAAAACTAATGTTCCAGTACTAACCTGTATGTAAAATAGAAGTGAAGTTTCCTACTAGGCAACATGAAATAGTTACATGACTTCTCTCCTTTCCCCCCTTTCTTCTTATTATAAAGTCTTATAATTTAAGGATCTGTAGTCAAAGAAGCTATAAAATGACATACAATACATAGTTCAATGTAACTAAAAAAATCAATAAAACAAACTATTCCCACATGTGTGTTTGAAATGTTTTAAAAATGCAAGGCTGTCTCATGTTTTGATAGTTGGTACTCAAGTAGAACAACAAGGTGAGATCTAACTGAGAACAGCACGGCACACTGTGGCCGCTTGTATGTCCCGACCTTTCCTAACTGGGTGCTGGGAAATATTTTACATTGTCAGCAACTCATAGCAATGAAACAGATGCTACAGGAAAATTATTCAAAAGCGAAAGAGAAAGAGGTGAGGCTTCAAATCAGATTTCTATCCCAAAGCACCATGTCAGTATATTTTCACATCTAGACCAGAATTCCTCGGATGCAGTGATTTGGTTTTAGTCATTTGACTTGACACAAAGAGCTCTGGATGTAATAATGACACATCTCTCTATTAAAAATTAATCCAACCAGGGGAGCTGACCCTACAACAAGTCAGAAATAACAGAGATAAAAGCTGTATTCTTATTTCTCCTGGAGGAGTTCCAGCATAGACACCACAGCACACAGGCACACAAAAGAAACTCCTAGCAGAAGAGGGCACGGGCCTCAGAGCAGTGCCAATGTGGTCAGCGGGGCGCAGCCACTCCCTGCTTAGCTGAGGGGTCCACTTACTATAGAAAAGAAGACTGGCTATTGAGGTGATTTACTTCTAAGAAACCTGCACTGAATTAAGGGCGGTGCTTCCCACATTTCATCCCTCCTGTGTAACTCAGAGCCATTGCTGTTGGCCTGGTATCATAACCATCTCCCTCTGGGTGCTGCCAGGAGGTTCTGGCACATCCCAGACCTGGAAAGATACAGGGCCTACTGACATAGCTCTTTACTTTTATAAACACTTTTTTTGTGTTTCAAAATTCAACCTTACCATAATGGTGGGTGGTCCTATTCAATTGTTCAAGTGGTTTTGAAAACTACCAGATTTAGAAGGAACTTCAGCAGTCAACTTTATTATAAATTTACAAATCCTTGTAGGTCATGTATCTGCTTTGCCCCTACCTGCAGTTACTACCGGTCCTTAGTGGCTCTGCTTAAATCACTGATACATGTGCAGGCCAGGCCTGGGTTGAGGACTTTATCTAGAGGGAATATCCCCAGCCCAGCTGACTTTGATCCACGTGCCTACACATTTCTGTGCGGTTGCTTCATCAGTTACTAATTTACTCCCCTATCTGTCTTCTATCACTTGCACATCTCTGACAAAGCTATCAGCACCAAAGCTCTGTCAGTGGTCCAGCTGGAGTCTTTTCAAATGCAGCCCTTCCCAATTCAGAAGCTAGTAATACCACCGAAGACAGAAAGGAGGTTGGTGTGGTGAGATCTGTCCTCTGTAAATGCACGGAGGCCTGGTCCTTACTGATGCCTCTTCTGTGGTCAGAGCCATCTCCAGTCATTAGGTAGAACCAGGTTCCTGTTTTAAAGCAAATATAAGGCGATTTTTCCTGAAACTATGCTTGGAGATATTTATGGAAGACAATAATAATTAACAATCACATGCTAGGAACTCATACTGTGCTAAGCATATTTTAGTGCATTTAATCCTTACAAGTTTACTAAGTACACACTACTATATCAACTATTCATTATTATCTGCTGGTGTTATAACTAAAGATGAGAAAAAAGTAAAGCCGAAGGAGACAGGTTTATTAAGCTGCCTATAGAGCTGGTTAAGCAGCAAAGTCAGGATTTGAATCCAGGTGTCTGGCTCCTAATCCTCTGGTCTGCTGCCCACCAGGGTGCCTAAGCGACACTGCTTAGAAGGGGGCGTCAGCTACAAGTGAGCAGTCCGTAACTGTGAATCCTCATTTTGCCTGTTTTCATCTGTGTAATAGCAGGGCCCTTTGGAAGATCTTATAAGATTCCTTGCCTCTTCATGACTCTTTTAGAGAATTTTCAAAGTTACTGTCTAGAAGCAGTAAATGATGAGTGCAACATATAAACTATTTTATGACCTTTAAAAATGCCTTTCAAAATTAAGTTCATCAGAACCAAAATTAAGCAGAGCAGCTGAGACTTTAAACTCCAGTACTTCCACAACTGGTAACCTCCAAATCAAAACAAATTGGCTGCTTGCGAATGCTCTAGTTATGCAACTTTCAATAATAGAATAGGATGTCTGACTTCTATATTCATTTAACTTTGGAGAGTGAAAACTTTAATAATAATGGTGATGGTGTTATGTAGACAGCTCAAATAACGGCCCATAAACATAGCTGTATTGTGTGTGCACACACATATGTGTATGAGATAAACATGGTTAGTTATCTGCCGACAGCATTCGACACATTCCATAACGAGTTGTTTTTGTTTTTTGTCTTTTTTTGAGATGGTCTTGCTCTGCAGTTTAGGCTGGCCTTGAGCTCACTTTGTAGCCCAGGCTGGCCTCAAACTCACAGTGAGCCTCCTGCCTCAGCCTCCTGAGTGCATGTGCCACGACACCTGGCTTATATTGAGTTTTTAAGAGCTTCACTCTGCAGCTCATGGAGCCTCAGCTTTACTTTCCTTCTGCCCCAGGAAACAGAGAACATTACTTCCCATAGGAACGTCAGCCAGCAGCCAATCAGCAGGAGCTGCCTACCCAAGAGACCACGTTTCCACAGCCATGAGTGTGGACAGGCAACAAACCTGCAAACCCAGAAGACCAGTCACGCCACACGGTGGCTTTAAGACTGGTGATGGAAGCCTACAGATGGGAACTGGTTCACACATGTTTGGCTAATTACTATTTACACACACACACACACACACACACACACACATACCGTATTGGGTTCACACACAGTTTAAAATAGTGTACATTTTATTCTTTACTGGAAAACCACCATTTTGTTTGTTTTTTATTGAAGTTACAAAAAAATGGTGATGCTTTAGCAATCAAGCTTATTGCTCTCAAGCTGGGCATGGTGGTTCACACTTGGAGGCTGAGGCAAGAAGATCATTGTGAGGTTAAGGCCAACCTGGGCTACCTGGTGAGCTCAAGGCCAGCCTGGAATACACAGCAAGAGCCTGTCACAAAAAAATAAAAAATTACAAAAAACCCTAATTGCCCTCATTATTTACCTTTATGAAGAAATTTCTTTATTTTGACTATATTTGGCTGTTAGCACTATAATCTAAGTTGGAAAATTAAAATACGTGATTTTAAAAAGTCACTGAGAGCAGTAACCAAGTAATCAAATGACCCTGATATAAGTCCAGGTAGATTTTTAAGATATGCAAGTTCAACAGCAAATGTAGTAATTTGAAATTAAAGAGTCATAGCAATTTCAAAAATTATAATGATAACCAATTCACATTTCCAAATTTATTTGGAATGGGATACACTCTTTTCCAATAGCCTATTGTTTTGTTTGAGGCAGGGACTTGCTATGTAGTTCAGGATGGCCTTGAACTTGAGTCAATCTTCCTGCCTCAGCCTCTCTCATGCGTGTGCTAACATTCCCGGCTTTCCAATAGCCTTCTAAAGAAAGTTATATCTGGATTTCCAAAATAAAATGTTTGTTCCTTCGCATTAGTATTTATGTGAAGAAAATTTCTTTATATTATATAATGAAATAATTTTAAGGAAAGTACAAATTAGCTTTTAAATACTCTGGAGAAAACTTTTTAGCTTTATGTCAGCTGCTTTAAGTATGCTGGGAGATTATGAGTTTATGATTAACTAAGATAAAAATAAACAATCCCTTTCAGGAGGACAAGAATGTGACTAATTTGAATTCTGACCCCAAATTGTAGGTTGTTTCAGAGCTTCATGGCAGACAGAAATCACTAATACCCAGATATAACATTTATTTAGATTATTGCTTTTAATTTTTTTACTTTGGGCAATAGTGACTACTATGAGACTTTCTGGGGTGAGAAAAGTAGGTTGTTTCAGTATATGAATTAAAAACACATGTACTGTTTCAAAGCACATACAAATAAAGGAACAAACAGTACCTAGAAATATATGTCACAAATTAGAGCTGCTATGTGTTTTTGTTCAGTGAATGTACTGGGAGTTGAAAGGGGCTGACACCGTCTCAGATCTACTGCCTAATTATATGAAAAGAACTGGAGCAGGTTTCTTTTCCCTCCTTATGGGAGGGAAAAATAGAACTAAGAGTCTGCCCTGGATGCCAGGAGCTTACCAGGTTCTCTCTTCCACTGTGTGGTCTTTTCAGGGCCTTTTGATCCTTCCCCTAAGACCATTCATGCAAAGAGTACTTCTTGGTTAAAAGAGGGAGGAGGGGGAAGGATAGAAAAGGAAATCCAGGTGCTGAGGAAGACTACTTCTCCATAGCTGTGACCATCTGCTAAGTCACCGTGTTAAGTCGTTGCACTGTACTGAAATCAGGCGCAAAACTCTCCCTGGTTGTTGCTTCCAAACACACACCGTAAAGGGGCCAGCAGGCATTTATTTTAAATATACACCAATGAGTGTTTGGAGGTAGACAGAGGCATAATGCAAAAGCAAGTGGCTTGATAAGACCTATACACTGTCCTCCCTGGAGCAGCTTTGGTCAGGTTACCCTCTTTTTCTTCTAAGTAAATTGCTAACGTTTTCACCAAAATTTCCCAGAACAACAAATCCAAACCTCTGTGTTACAGGTTTTCCGTAAGAAGCATTTTTATTCAGTGTTTTCTTTGATAAGTAAATCCCTCAAGTTTATTAATCTGCATTTAAAAAAAAAAGGACCCATAAAAAATAAACAGATGCAAAAAAAGACGCAAAAAAACAGAAGCAAAGCAAACCAAAACATCTTTCTTGAAAAACAGGAAGATTTTCTGAAGGCAGTAGGTGGCTGATGTGTAGTAGCGGGAGATCAGGTGCACAGAAAAGGAAATACTAAATGTACTCTACTGGGTAGTGCTAGAAAGAAAAGACACACACATCAGCTCTCTCGGTGAGTTAAAAAGAAAAAAGGGGACTGCATTGTGACACTGTGACAGAGGGCAAGAGCATTTTCTCTCTCAGACTGCAAGCACTCTGGGCAAGGCTTAACGTGACACATTTCTATGCCAGGTGAAGGATCTCCATCATTTACAAACACAGTTACTTCTACATGCAGAGCTCCCCCTTTTACCCACGCACACATGCATGAGGCCACGGCCCCTCCTACATGCGTATTTACACACACTTTTCTGATGCTAATTCTCCCAGTGACAAGTGGCAGCAGGTCACCTACCTTCCCAGCTCTTCTCATCACACAATGCAGTCAGGTCCAAATGGGGCACTTCGGAGACAAAGCTCTCCTGCTGGGCGTCAGCATCTTGATTTCTCTGCTGTTTGCTGTCGGGTATACTGGGGTGCTCCTGAATCTTCATCGTGGGGCTCTGCAATAACAGCACAGTGTTCCCAAACAGCTACTGTTCATCAGAACCCAGTGATTTCCGCAGCAATCTCACTGCTTCTGGGTGAAATCTCTCAAGCCACAGCTGCTAACGTACCCAGCACGGAAATCAAAATCATGGCTCGGTGCCCCCCTCCCCCCTCCGAATATGAGCTGGCCACTCTCATGCCCAAAGCAACTGTCCATCTGTGCTCCTTTAACTTTTCTTCATTGAGAGAGACAGGATGATTTTCTCAGGCTGCTCCTCCTGATAACTGCAGGCAGCTGACAGTCTGGATGATTACTGACTACGGTCAGGAATGAGGGGAAGGAGTTTGTGTTTCCTTAAAGGAGCAAGGCTCTCTAGACTGTAAATAACAACAGAAAAGCCAGTGGCTGCTGTTGCTAAGGCTGGAGCAGAAACACGATGTCTTGCACGCAGACTTCTTTCCCTTAGGTAAACAGCACTGCGAGGGCAGGAGTGGAGGCTGGGGACAAACACTCCCGCGGGCTTAGATCAATTACGTAGGGCGAGCCGCACATTCCCAGATTTCCTGTGGTTGTTTTCCCGCAGAGTATGGGGTGAACAACTATTTATGGAGGAGCTCTGGGCATTAGAGCATTGTTGTGCAAATTCAAACAGCACAGGGCTCTGGCGCCCCATCTCAGCGAGCAGCACAAAATACAGACCTTGGGAGGGGGTCCAAAGTTAATGGGGAGCATGGCTTTCCCCCCGTTTTGTAAAAAGCCAAATGCTAGCAAGTCGGTGATGCATAATTTGTGTTACAAATAAGCAACTCACTTATTTTCCTACTATTCATCTATTTTGAATACTAAATATTTGGCTACTCTTGGTTTTGCTCCTCGGTGGCACCTACCCCAGTCTAGGAAATCTGATGGGTGGGAAAATCCTCCCCGGAAGGCTGATATTCAAGCTATGTGCCTTTGTGTTTTTTAAAAAAGCACTGAAATTAATTCTGTTGCGCTGAAATTCTCTTTTTAGCTTCCTCTTTGGCAGACGGTAAACCAAGCCATTGTCACTCTTCTTGCTCTCAAACATTATGAACAAAAATCTATTTCTCTAGTAGCACACATCTGTACAAAATATTTTCTTTGGGACTAAATGGAGATTTATTTTAGCAAGTACAATATCATTATTTGAAAAAACTGAGAACATCTGGAAATCATAAGTGAATTCATTAATGTAAGCGAAATGTTCTTAGGCTTAAAATAAAGCTCTGTTTAAGGCTTTCTGCTACTTTTAATAGCTATCCAACCCACTCTGAAGTCAGCAGGGGGATGAGCAGACAGCAGTTTTACTATTACATTTCCATGAAATAATGCACGAGACGTGTATTTTCTTTGCATTTAGGATAAAAAGAAACATCAGTTAGGTCAGGATAAGCTACTAAAGTCAGATGGAAACATCAAGTCAATCTGGAGCTTTAAGACATTTAAAAGATGCTGCTTGTTTATGTCACAAAAACTATGTTTTCCTCGAGCTGAATACTAAATGGACAAGGGTTGGATGCCCAAATCTGGTGCACAGCTTTTTAAAAATTACAGGGTCAAGAGGTGAGCAAGTAAATGTGTGTGTGTGTGTGTGTGTGAGAGAGAGAGAGAGAGAGAGAGACAGTGTGTGAGAGAGAGAAATAGAGAATATTACACAGTAATTAAACATTTCTCAACAAAGATTTAGGTTTCTAAAGATTGTTATACTCAGAGACATCAAAGGAAAGAAGACAAGACGTGTGATTTCATGTATAAAGTATGGTAGTTTGTGTGTAAGAAGCCTGTATATTAAGTCATTCAAAGTGTGATGCCAAGGAGAAGACATAGGACCACGGGTGCTGCGTTTGCAGTGTGGCGCTGACATCTGCTAACTGCCCTCCATGAGTCTAACCTCGCAAGGGGCTGTCAGACCAGAGAGAAGGTAAGCAAGGCTGGGTGCCTGGAGTGTGAGACACAAACCAAAGCCATCATTCTGTTACCAGGCGGCACCTTATTAAGATGAATGGAAGAACAATGCCAGGCCCAGAACTGCCAGAGGCAGGAATGGGAGAGCAGGCAGGAGGAGCTTGTGTGAGGTGAAGCAGGCTACAGCAGAGGCCGGGACACAGTTTTCAGTGCATGGTGAATAAAGGCCAAGGAACAGAGCCACCAGGGCACCTGCTGCTAACCAGCAGCGGCTCCTACTCCAACTGGGGGCAGATAGGTGTGGCCTGCGAGGGGTCGGGGGAGCAGGAGAATATGTGGGGACAGGCAGGAGGGTGTGCCACCTCAGGCACTGTGACAAGAGGCTCAGGGTGGCCAGACCTTAGGACAGGGCAGGAGGATGGCAGAAGATAAGGGTGTCAGGCACCTGTGAAAGGCCTCGTGTACTGGGCTTAGCAGTTGACAGTTATTTCTAGAGCAAAAGGAGATAAGGTTCAAACAGGGTGACCTGCACAGTTCTTGCTGCTGCCAGAACTCATCCTTTGCCGGGTTGCCCACACCCTTCGAGACTGCTGTACCATACAGGAAAGCATTACCGCTATTTGCTTATTTGTTTTTCCTACTGGACCATCAAGGTTAGTATGTCAAGGGCAGTCTCAAACACTGAAGTGACTTTGATTTAAGCTTTTTTCTTTGCAAGTCTATCTGCAGTTAAACTAGAGAATAAATAATGTCACAATTTTCAATTTAGATTCTTCTACTGTGAAGTCACTCACCAAACCCTTGTCAAAAACACTGCCCCACAGAAAAGCATTCTGAAATAAAGAGCGCTTGGCTCTCAGAGGAGACTATATGGTGGGTACACAAGGATGGGTTTTGACAGCACCTTCAAGACCTTTGAACTTTCCCTCGTTTTGCTCTAACCAGGTTGTCTCAAAGATTACATGAAAACCACGTATGAACAGGACATACATGTATGACCATGTATGTAACAGAAATGCTATTCCCATTTCTGCTCTCTTTCTGTTGCCTCCTCATTCATTTGGCAAGGACTTATTAAACACATAGCCTTTCTAGGCACCAGAACTTGGGACTGACTGAACATGTCACCGGACCCAGTATGGAGGACAGCCCACTGTCATGTGCATCACAAAAGAAAAGCACAGTGTGTGAGGGAGCAGTACAGGCTATCTTTTTGTATTGTTTATTTGAGACAGGGTCTTACTATGTAGTTCAGGCTGGCCTTGAACTCACTATGCAGCCCAGGATGGTCTCCAACTTGGGGCCATCCTGTTGCCTCAGCTTCCCGAGTGCTGAAATCACCAGTGTGTGTCGCCCCACATGGCTATTATTTGGTAAACTTTTATTTCATTCCTTTTCCCTCCCAGCACAAAATATGGACTAGTGGCCTGAAGGTTTACAAGAGCCAGGAATGATGGCACCTGAGAACGTGCTGGATAATGCAGTTGGCGCGGGAAAAACCCACAGCGTTAACCACAGGAACCATAAATATTTACTGTCTGGCCTGACAGTAAATGAACACGGACATAACAAATTTCCAAAACTCATGTGAACTGCAAAGGGTCGGTAGTCTTTGGCAATTACTGATGGAGATGCTTCTCAGGGCACATCAGAACTTGCATTTGGGCCTTGTGGTAATTAATTTAATTCTCAGTCTTGATTAAAAAGCCTCAACTTCTCCTTTTTCTCTCCTTTCTATTTTACTCCCTCCCTTCTTTCTCCTTTTTCTTTCTTTTGAAGCAGGATTTTAAAAAGGGAAGTAGTCTTCTATGTTTATGATGAATGTCTTGTTTGTTATCAAAGGTATGCTTCTAAGCACTCTTAAGCAGTGGGTTTAGAAGCATGAAGAATGTAAAAATATCTTGAAAGAATTTAACACTTTATTGGCCATATAATTCTGACAAAATGACCTCGATCAGATAATATCAGAAATGGTTAAGATTCTAACTGGTTTTGCTTCCTTGGCAAAGAGGTTCACTGTAAGGTTATTGTTTGACTATTCTAGATATTATGTGAAGCATAAATATTTTCACAGTAGAATAACCTGGAAGGAGCTGAAGAGTAAGATATAAACTCTACTACAGGCAGAATTTTGAAAATGTATTTTCCATGATTTAGAACCTAAGTGTTGCTAGCTATAAGGCTGACCTCTCTTCTAGATTCTTGCCGTTGTTAAAGAGTTCAGAAACAAAGGGACAAGCGCTCAGGTCTCCTGGTGCCCCGGGAGCACGTGCTGGGCTCTTTCTTGTTATCTCATTTCATGCAGCCAGATGTGGTGTTTTACTGACACACCAGCCATGCCAAAGCCTCCCAAAGAAACTACTTTCACTTGTGGCATTTTTGAAGCAACTTATTGCTTTTCATTGTAATGTGTCATTAAACAAATTTAAATCCTAACCACATAAAAAATAGAAATGGGTAGCTCTCACTGGCCAGTGCCCATCTGAGAACTCAATATACCCTCTTTTTAGATAAGATTAGTTGCATAATTAAAAGAAATTAAAAAGGCATTCAAAAAGGGGGTAAGTTTATATTCACTTTCAACGTATGCCTTCAAACAAAGCACAGTGAAAGCCACACCCCGATTATTTAAAAAATAAATATCAGTTTTGAGGCTGAAGGCCAGCTCCTCCCCTAAGGGGAACAGTAGCCACAAAAGGAAAGAAAAGCCCACCTGTCCCCAGTGGCTGCCACCTGCTCTGTCCTCTTATATGAATCTGAGAGTTACAAGAAGAATTTTCAAGGGTAGTGCTAATGATAGTAAATCTCTCATAGTGAAAAAAGAAATTAGAGAAGCCACTATGCTTATTCGTAGTGAGCGCATAAGCTGTGCCACCTCAGTTTGATGCTGTAGAAGACTTGGAACAAAATGAATACTAATTAAATAGAATTCTGGAAAGGGTAACCAAAATCTAGACTTATTTTTCATCTCTGACATTAAGGAATTACAGCTGTTTTACCAGAAAACCAGATTACTATTTGAATGGTATAATAAGTTTTAGGAAGGGCTGTGTATATTACAAAGTAAGGAATTACAACACACTCAGATAAGGCGGAGAGATTTAAAAATGAAAAACAGAGCTTTTCAGTCTTTCCTGAATAACAAAAGATATTTCAGTGAAAAGAGCGCGCGCCCTCATGACCGAAACAACCCCATCTTGTGGAGTGGTGTCTCTCCCTTTGGGCATAGCTGTGATGGGAGTGGAGATGTGATATGGAAGCTGAATCTAGGTTCTAACTCACCACCTAATTTTATCTCCTAACTGACGTGGATTACAATGATTATTAATAGTCAGTGCTTCAGGAGTGCCAGCTGCGAGCGGGGCACTGATTGGTGGCTGCGCATGCAAGAATAGCACCTGGCACACGGAGCGGGACTTGAGATTCTTTCCCCATGATTCACCCACTGCCACAGGAGCTGTCTACCAAAGGCCTAGGTAAACTGGGTTCAGCATGAATTTAGTTTGGTTGCCACCTGGAATTTATGAGTTGACATCCTGGAGTTCATCCTCAAAGCTTGCTCTAGTCCCTTCATCTCATAAAAGATGACAGGCATAAAAGGAAAGAACTGAGACCTCCTTAGGAGGTTGGCAAAGCAATATTCTTTAAAATAATGTTCAATGGCATCTTGAATAGGTGCCTGCTGCGTGCAGAGGAAGATGACCAAGAAAAGATAAGGAAAAAAGGCTTGGGCTTTTTGAGAAAACCCAAAAAACTGTCATGAGGAAACAGGTTTTTTTAAAAAAGACACCTAGAGAAAAGAAAAGCATGTCAGCTTGGGGCTACCGCCCCTAGAAGGAAGCATAAATGAGCTGGAAATAGATGAAAGAATTGTTTCCAAAGCTGGGAAGTCAGAGAGAGGGAGCATTTCCTTCCTATTATCTAGGATAAAGAAGTGTACGTGACAGGAGTTTAATAGAGGAAATATCAGGCATCTGCAGTATTAGCCTGTGTGTGTGTGTGTGTGTGGTCACTGATTTCCAGTAATTTCATGCAAAGTTTAATGTGGGTGTGCAGCTTGCAGAGTCTGCAGTGCTGGGGGGATCTGGGGCCTCATGCATGCTAGACAAGGGCTCTACCACTGAGTGAACCCCAACCCCAGCATTCAGGTGACTCATCTGTTAGACTATAAAGTTTCATGGGAGCAGGGACTGTGCCTGTCATCAACGCTTGGTCCTTCCACAGAATTTGTACCCAGTGGAAGATAATACATGTTGCTAAATCCATCAGTGAACTATGCCAACGTCCCATAAACACTAAGGGTCATTTTAGTGCAATAGTTCTCTACATGATTAATATATTAAGAAAGAATTTTAAGAATGGGTTGATAAAAGCTTTTAATTTTTGCAAAAAAAAAAAAAAAAAATGAACCTGCTAAGAGATTCAAGCTATGGTTGGCAGAATTTGAAGAATGAGATTAAATTTATATACATGAACTGAAAGTGAGGGCCAGTGTGCTGAATGAAAGCAAGAGAAACCAAATATGTGGCTCTGTGTGGGAACACCCCAGAGGACCAGGCAGGAGCCAAGAGAGCAAGTGAAACTTGAAAGCACACATGATATAGGGAGTAGTTTATTTTTTCTCTATTGTTTACTTGAACTGAAACACAAAACAGAGAAAATGAATTGGATTAAATAACTCAAATTGAATTTGTTAATCTGAAAATTAGTGAGAAAGTCCCTGTGTTATGGTTTAGATAAAAAATGTCCCCCAAAAGAGTGGTTAGATCATGAAGGGATAAGACTTATCAGTGATTTCATCCACCAACGAGTCCATAGCTACATGTGCTGTCAGGAGGTAGGCCCGGTTGAGGCGCTTCCTGAGGGCATGCCCTGGAAGGGTGTGAGATTAAATTTACATACATGAACTAAAAATGAGTTCTCCTCCACTGCTCCTCCCCACTCTCTCTGCTTCCCAGCCACCATGATGTGAGCAGTTGCCCTGTGCAGAACCTCCACCATACCTTGCTGCCTTGGAGCTGGACAATTACACACCAAATCTTTAAAACCATGAGCCGAAATAAACCTTTTCTCCTTCAAGCTGTGGGTGTCAGGTATTTTGTCCCAGTGATAAGGAAACTGACTGAGACCCCCTATGACCATTAAACCTATTACTTCACGTATTTTGATCACTTAAAAATACTCTCCTTCTGTTAGAAAAATCAAACCAGCACCTATGGCTTTTTGTTTTATTCCGTGGAAAATCTTAAGAGAAATCCCCATGCTATTAAAGTTTATCTTCACAAGCAAATGTAGTAATTTAAAAAGTAAACTTCTCAAAGAATCTTTACATCTTGGCATTTGTCTTTCTATCCTATCCAGACACAGTCCTATCATTTCACCGTCTCTAAGGCCATGTTGGTGACATTCTGCACACATCCATACTCAAGGACATGGGGACAGCCCACCACAGCCACACGTTCGTTACTCACCTCAAAATGCTGGGTGTCTCCACCATCGCTTTCACTTTCTTTGCTATAAACAATAGCAACAATAACAAAATATCACAAAATGTCCATTTTTATGACAGTGCCTTTCATCCATTCATATCACAACTTCAGTTATTTTAAAAGTGGGCTGAATATCTCTAAGTAAACCCCTTACAACATTCAAAAGCAAAACAGAAAAATAACCTAGAAGCACAAACATGAGCATTTGCCTTGTAGACTTCTATTCTAAGCACTTTCCTTGTCAACATAGAATCTTTATTTTCATTTTTTTGGTTCTTATTACTCACATAGCATTAAATGAAAACAATCTTGTCATACCCTTGAAAACAAAGCGGGGAGAAAATTTTAGTTACCTTTCCTCAGACATCAGCTCAGCATCATCAGCTCCAGTCCTGTCATTTGATCGTGAGGAATGAAAACTTTCCATATTCTGTAACAGAACAATTACCGGTTGCTTAATGGCCTGTAAGAAACATGTAACAGCAGACTCCTTTTTCGAAAGTAAAAAAATCAGGTAACATGTAGATAGGAACTAATTATAGTGCCCACATTTCTATCTTTGTTAAAACAAGTAACATTGTGACAGTTTTCTGCTTACATAAAGTTGCACATTGAATTTTATCAACCCTTTAATAAAGATAGCTGGTAGCGTGATGGAAATGGCCAGCGTTCCTGTGAGGCCTTCATCAGGTATTATGCACATCGGACAGCTAAGCATAGCAAAACTCAGCTAGTCAGAGACTCAGTGTGGCTTACAACTAGAATGGAGGAATCTAAATCTTGAATGAAATCAGAAATTGATGTACTGTGTATTGCTTATTTGTTATGTTCATTGAATACAGTCAGTATGACCTGGGATAATCTACATCTATGTCTATATGTATATATCTCATATCTACATTGTAAAAATGTTCATTAAAAATGTAAGTAATTAAAAAACCCTTCCATAATATTTAATGTTAATGTTTATATTAGTGAGGGTGCACAAAATATAAATAGAAAACTCACTTCAATAGTATATGTTTTAGGCCAACAAAATGGGCTTGATGTTTGTAAGGGTTTTTTGACTGCCCCCTGTGAATACAGCCAATGTTTTCTAAAAATAACGCAGAGAACTAAGCACAGAATGAGTAACTCATCCTCATGAAGGAAGATTAAGTGTGCTCTTATTTGCTTATTTGTAAATTCAGTAGACTAAAAACATGGCTGTCTTCAAAACTTGGACCTGAATTTCACTAAGCACAGAGATTCAACCTCTGCATCAGAAGGATATTAGGTCCAACCCACTTACCGTGTGTCATCAAAATAAAGAACACATATCCACCTACATATAATAACCTACCATTATGAAAACACTTTCAAAAGTCACAAGAATTCCATGAAACTGGCATGTATGAAAATCTCTATAAAATAAACATATATCACAGTGAGAAGCTAATCTTTGGCTTGGTAGGTGAGTGAATTATTCATTTATGTTGGCTTGGTCAATTTGTATGGGATCCGTCAAAGAATGGAAACAAGGGAGACAATACAATTAATAGTCTTGACAGAAGCTTTGGAGTCAGATTGATTGGCTTCGATTTCTGGATCCATCAACTGCCAATTCTATGACTCCATTTGAGCCTCAGTTTCCTTAAATGGAAATGGTACACTACCTGCCATAGAATTAAACAAAATAATAACATAAAGCTCTAGAGTCATGCCTGGTATACTTAATGAGTATTGGTTGTTACTACTATTTCTAAAGGTATGAAACCTCCAAAGAATATATTTCATTATTTGTCCACAGGTAAGACAGTCCCAGGAATTTAAAAGACAGTATCTGTGTCTGCTTATTAGAATGCTAAGCATCGATTTACTCACTTAGAAAATTCATACAGCTAAATAGTGATTTCAAAGGTCAGTCTGAACTGCATGACAAGACCCTGTCTCAAGAAACCAAAACCAAACAGAACCAAACCAAAACAAAACAAAAAAAGAGAAAACTTATATAGCTAGATAATTTTAGAGAAAATCTGAGAAAAAAGTTATGACAGTATTCAATTGTATTTACGTCTTTACAGTTTGAGTTAGAAAAGTCCCTTATAACTGGGTTCCAGGATACTGGAGCATAATGGCTCTTATTACCTGAATGTGACCTTCCTCATATATCTGTGACAAAGAATCTTTGTTCCCATTAGTAATCTTTAATAGATTATCAAAATCTTTAGTGAAAGATCTACTGCAATAGTATTAGGTTTTCCTAAAGCTCTGAAACATGAATTCCTAGGGAAAGTATAATCTTTTCATATAATTTCCAAACAGTGCTGGTGAAATGGACTGTGTTTTTAAAATTATATGTGAATCAGTGTTTTGGAAGAAATAAACATTTTCAGATTAAAGTTATGGAAAAATCAGAAATGAGAGTACAGAAAATAAACCAAAACCGCATTCTACATTTAGAAATATTTCAATTACAAGCTAATAGAAGGCTAACTTTTCTCCTGAACAAAAAGAAACAAAATATAGTGATACAGATTTTTGAGAGTTATAGAATAGTTACATTACACAATGGATTTGCAAAAAGCACTTTTAAGATGTGAGAATTTTTAGTGGAACTCAAGGGTTAGAACAAATAAGTACTGACTTTGTCAACTCCCTCCCCTCTTTTAATGTTCAGCCAGATGTTTAAGAGCTCCCTAAGGATCCCAGCCTTTACAGATGTAATTTACAATGGCTGGCTTTCAATATCATGCAATATTTTTTCCTTAAAGTTCTACAGCCATTTCTTCTCTCATTGTTTCTCCGGGCAGGTGAAACTGCTGCATAACTCTCGTCTGGGGTCCCGAACCCTGCACGAGGCACACGGAACCCTGCACATTGCTGGGTTGTGCCAGGGGCCTCTGAGCAGGGTGTTAAACCTGGCCAAGTCCTCCTGAGTTTTCAGAATGAAACTGACCAAGGTAGTGAAGATCTGCTATGTTAACAAAATTACTTATTTTCACAGAGCACAAAATACCTTATAAATTCTAATTTCTATGCTCTGACTAGGGTTTGGGGGCAGATAAGATAAAAGGATTAATTTTGATTTCCCTGAGATGGGGGAAGGGGAAAATATAGCATACAGGCTAAAACAGCATAGAAACACAGGCTTCCTCTGGATAAGAAGTATGCTACTGGACTTTCATATCTGCTGCAGCTGCTAATGGATTTATCCTTTGACAAAATATGTACACAATGCATTTTGAAGGTTTGGAATGGTTTTATTTCCCAAACCCATTTCTAGGTGTGGTAGAAATGTAGTACATTAGTGTTTTCATTTTTTAAAGGTAACATAATAGAACTCATAAAAGTGATTTATTGCATTAACTTTTAATTAAGATCTTTTAAATGTAGTAGGTAATTTTTAAAAAATAGCAAAGAAGAACCAGGCACGATGACTCACACCTGTAATACCAGCTGTTTGAGAAGCTGAAGCAGGAGGACTGCAACCTTGAGGGAGCCTAGGAAATTAGTCAAACCCTGCCTCAAAAGAATAAAATAAAATGGGCTGGGGGTGTAGCTCAGTGGTATAGACCTTGCTTAGCATGCATGAGGCTCTGCGATCAAACCTCAGTACTAACAAATAATGTAAAGAACAGATTATGACTTTAAGTATAATGCAGTGAAATTACTTCTTGTATTATAATTTTAACCAGATAAAGTTTAGTTTACAATCCATAAAATTCTGACTCACAGAATTCCTCTCAGTGACTTTCAAAACACTGATGTGCTATGATATATTATATTTTGATAATTTTGGGGTGTGAAAAGAAACTGAATTTTAAAAACACCCTCCTCAATTATAAAGATAACCTTTAAATTCAAGAGGAAAGCTTTGATAAAGCTAGCTTTAGGCTGTAGATTTATGAGTAATTCTTTTGCCCTTCTCCGTGTTGGCATTGAAAGCCAGACTCAAAACCTGTTTGACCACTGACTGGAGTACTTGAAGATAGCTGGAGCAAAAACAAATTTGTCTTCTAAAACTGTAAAATGCTGACAAAGCCTTTATAGAGGACATAGAAAAAGATACTTTCTCTCATTAGACAAACAGGTCAGACTGAAGGCCAGAGCAATGCTGTTAGTCAAAACAGGTTCATTATTCTAACCTTGAGCTCTGAAAAGGAGAATATTTAATACAGTCATTAACAAAGGAACAGTGGCAGGTGTGAATTTTTTTTTTTTTACCCCTTTGTATATTTCACATCTTACTACTTAAAAGTGTATAAGCCAGTCCACATTTAAAAGAACTACTGGTGTTATGAGAGAGAACCATTCCTAGTGGTCCAGTCAAACTGTCCTAGCTCTTCCAAGTAAAGCAGGGGACAAAGACCTCTGTGAGTGCAGGCCCAGGGAGCTGGCCACTGAGGCCAAGGAGATGGCCAGGGTCAGGTGATCATCAGCCGCAGGACAGAGACCTCTCACACTGATTGGTAGCTCAGCACCACTGGCTTCAAAGCCCAGAGTGACCTGTGGTCTCTTGGTCTCTGCTGGTCATCATAGCCTCTAGGGGCAAGAGGACCAAGTGCCCGCTGTGGACACCCCACACCTGCAGAGGCTTGTGGAGGGCACATTACAGCCTCCTCTCTGGTTGTAGTGTGGGCAGGTGAGGCCACTGGAGAGCTCCTGTCTTCAGTCTCTCTCTTCTCATTCTCTCTTGAGAATGGCTTCTGCTTCTGTCCTGCTACCAGCTTTGGTCCCACTAAGATCACAGTGAGCCATACCATCCTCTACTTGACCTTTCATCTGACCAGCTTTCTCTGTGAGACACTGGGTTATGTGGATTCAAAAAACACCAACTTCATGTTTCTTTGGCTTTTGTGTCTTGTGTCCTTATGTCTCTTCTGCTGGCTTCTCATCTCCCCTTCCTCTCAATGGTGGCAGGTTGTAGGGCCCACCACTGGCCATCCTCTACCCTACACTTGCCCCCTCAGCTGTCTCCTCCAAGTACCGCCTTAAGTGGCATCTAAATGCTGCTCATGTGGATACCCTCCCTGTACTTTGGGCTCTCTGATAGCTCCTCTTAAATGTCTAATAGGCAGCTTTTTCTTTACACGTCCAAATCTGAACCCAGGATACCATTCCCCAAAGCCTCTCCCTTCCTCATCTCAGTAAAGTAGCAACGCTAATTTTCAGCAAGGCCATGCACACTGCCTCTTGTACCAGCTTAGTTCAAACCATCATTTCAAACCTAGAAATGACAAGAGCACCCAAACCAGTCTCCCTGTCTGCTCACTTTCTGTCAACACTTGGCACAGCAGTCCCATGGCATTTAAGGAAGTCAGACTGCCATTCTATCTAGCACTCTCCACTGGCTTCTCCTCTCCCCCAGAGTAAAGGCAGAGTCCTTCCCATGAGCTGTGAGGACTTGTCTCTTCCGCTTTCCTTGCCACTGGCTCTTCTCACTCTCCCTCCCACACTCTTCCGCCCAGTGCCGTCTCCGGGCTCCTCACACAGTCAGTGGCACCTGGGGCCTGGGGCCCTGTGGCTCTGTCTGTACAGCTTGCTTCCCTGCTTCCTCTTGGTCTTCACACTCAAAATGCCAAATTCCAGGGCATTCTCTGACCAGCTGATTCCAATTGCATCCTCTGCCCCTCAAAATTCCCGTCACCATTCTCTGCTTTATTTTCCTTCTAAAAAGTCAACCCTATTTCATACACTTTATGCTTTCCTTGTTTAACTTAATCATTGTCCGTTTCCCCCATAGAAAGTAAGCCCCAGGAAGGCAAGAATTTGTGCCTGTTGTTCTCACTGCTACATCTCTGAGAGTTCAAATATCTTTTTGGTACACAGAAGGTATAGAACTATGAATATATCCTTTTCCTTTTCTCTTTCTTTCTTTCTTTCTTTCTTTCTTTCTTTCTTTCTTTCTTTCTTTCTTTCTTTCTTTCCTTCCTTCCTTCCTTCCTTCCTTCCTTCCTTCCTTCCTTCCTTCCTTCTTTCCCTCCCTCTTTCTCTCTTTGTTTTTTTTCCCCTGGTACTGAGAATCGAACTCATGACCTTGAACTTGCCAGGCAGGTGCTGTGCCGCTGAGCTGAACCCCCGGACCCTCTTTCTTTCTTTTAGCTATAAAAACAAATGTTTGGCCCAAGTGTAAAGGCCTTGAAATGGGGTTGGGAAAGGTTTTGGAGGAGGGCTGGGGAAAGTAAAATTAAATGGTTAAAAATGAGTAGGAAGTTAAGATGCACAACAACTTTAGCCTCTAAGTACCAGTCACTGTTACGAATCCTGGCTCCTGTTTTGTGGTCACCTTGAAGATTAGATGTTAAAGTTCATAGAATATGAGAGTTAGGAAAGATCTTTGAGAATACATAGATGAAGAAGCTCTTCCTCTAAATTACGCTGGCAGGGCTTAAGTTATTCATGGCAACAAAGCCAGGATCCACAGTGCCCTGCTGTGCGAATGCAGAACCCAGCAGCCGATTGGGCAACACCTTCACACTCACAAGACCAAAATGGAAGAGTGGCCCCCGGCCCAGGGCTCCTCAACAGTGACTCTTCCCATGGTTTTGCCAGTCAAACACATATTCTAAGGAATAAATGTGTTTTCCACTTCTTTAACTCTAACCTAGCTAACTGAAGATCCTATTTCTGGTAGGGAAGAAATTACTGATAGGTTAAGGTCATGGAAAAAGGGACTAAAAATGTATATCTTTGTAAGCTATAACCTTGAGACTTCTGATCACCATAAATCTCTCTGGCAAATAAGCAAGCCAAATAAAGAGTTAATGAAGTCAGTATCATTTAGTTTGTTTAAAAATCCACTGTTCATGGGCTGGGGATGTGGCTCCGTGGTAATACCCACACTGTGCTCAACGCTCGCAAGGCCCTGCGCCTGGGGTTCAATCCTCAGCAGCAGAACAAAAGAAAAGAAAACAAAACAACCCACTAAACTTGTCCAAAAAAGTTAAATCATCAATTCACTGCTGCCTGTTAAAATGTAGTTAATGTGTAATGATTCCTTCCAAAAGTTAGATTCTTTGTTTTGAGAATTGTACCTGACACAAATTTAAAGAGGATGATTATTTCTGACCATCCTAGTTGAACATTTTATTTCTAGAAACAAAATAACAAAGACGTTTGGGAGGTAAGGGAACTCATTCAATTATGTCTTCTCCCAGATTTACATTTGTGTATACGGTACATAGGGAAAGCTGAGAACTGTTTCTGACTATGCACAGACTCGACAGTGGGTATAGGGTGGCTGCAAGTTGTGCTGAACACAAAGAAAATGCAGCGTGGAGCAGAAGACTGGTCAGAGCTAAGCGGAGACCAGCAAACCTGGTCATCACCAAGTAAAAACTGATGATGCTGTTTCTGATTAGGGTCATCGGTTCACGTCATATTATAAGGTTTATCCTCAGTTGTTAATTAAAAAGGCAAAGAGTTGTGAGATAGATTTTGGTTCTCACTTTTTGGAGACTCTGAAGCAGGAATGTAAAATGATGACATTAAGCAATTTATACTGAACAAACATTGACTGAAACACTTATAGAATTAATGAATTAAACTAAGTTTAAAGTCTGAGGTAACGGTAAGTGATTGTCTTTTTGTTTCTGATTAATTTGGAAGAAAACACCTCCGAGAGTATAAACTTGAAACTGATCTTCTGAACATGAAGAGTTTTCTAAAGATGAAGACACCTGATCCTCTCTCTCTGTGTGTTTTTGTTTTACCCTGCTACACAATGATTCATTCATTTTTTTTTTTTACACATTCATATAGGGAATAAATGGAATGGTGGAAAATAAGGAAAAATGCCAAACAATGTTATTCAAAATATAAAATGTAAAAATGCTAAAAAAAGAGAGAGAGATAGAAATCAGACCAATTTAAATAACGTGGATATCAAAATGTGTGCTGTTCCTTGTTCCTTTGGCAGAATGTCACTTTTTTTTAAACATTTTTATTATTATGATTATTCTTTACAATGCCAGAGGTCAAACCCAAGGACTTTATCCAAGTGCTTTAGTGTTGAGCTACATTCCCTCTTAATTTTTACATTTACTAAAAAGAAATAGGCCAGTAGGGTATGCTGGCCCATGCAGGTAATACAGGCTACTCAGGAGGCTAAGGCAGGGTGACCAGATTTAAGCCCAATTTGGACAATTTAGGAACACCTGTCTCAAAATAAAAAGGGCTGGGGATGCAACTCTGCTCCATGGGTTCAGTCCTCAGTACCACCAAATAACCACAACAGTTAAAAAAGAAATAAAAGAAACAAAGAAAGAAGACAAAAAAGAAAAGAAAAAACAATATAAATACTTAAGTAGCTCTAAGGTGTCTCAGAACTCATATTCTAAAATTCTGTGATACTCAAGACTGAAATTACTTTATTTCTTTTATAAAGTAAGGAAGGAGAGTGCTATTTCTTAACTGGCTACAAGAAAAACATCTGATAAAAAATATTCACTTACCACAAGACCATCTTGATTTTCACTGAGATCAGAAAGTTTAGAACTAGATTTCTGACGTTTAGGTTTGCTCCTTTCTCCAATATAATCAGAAGTATTTTCATGTAGTTTTTCTACTTCCTGAGAATTCAAAATACATTCATCAAGGTTGTTGAAGGCAGAAGGAATATTTTCTTTGTTGGTAAGTCCCCTGGAATTGAAGAAAAAAAAAAACCTTAATTTTATTTTAAAGGGTGAAAGGGACATTATATAATACTGCCATTGTGTCATATCATATATACAGCAAGTCTCAGGAATGCCTACAAATGGACAAATGATCAAAATCTGGCACACGTGTTGCTCTTGTGGGGTGCCTGATGTCAAATAAATCATATTTGAAAGGATGTTATTCCTGGAGATAGACTGGCAAGGGCTATGTTTCCACCAGGGAAAAGCTTTTGTACTTTACCAATAAAGTACTTTGCATTCACACAGGGAGAATGGTACAAATTCACAATGAAATATTCCACTATTCCCAATAGATATTAATATGACCTCAGTATACAATAAAATTTTAATATTATAGGTTTTTTGTTTTTTTGGTTTTCTTTTTTGGTACTAGGAATCAAACTCAGGACCTTGTGCTTGCCAGGAAGGCAATGCGCCACTGAGCTATATCCCTAGCCCCTTAATATTATAAATTAATATAAAGTATAGAGAAAAATCTCAAAAAGAAATGTCTCCTCTAGAATGGGAACATTGATTTTTCCCAAATGAGAGTTATTTTCATAGAGTAAAATACATTAATATTTAAATCTCACTGAATTAGATAATCTTGGAAGAAATCACACATCAATAAAACAATGTAATATCAAGCAGTAAAACTGAAATTTGGATTTACTACTTTCTAAGATTCAAGGTATAAGCTTATTAGAAATAGAAATGTCATAAATATAGAATTTAATTCACATAATACTTTCAAACATTTTTAAAAAGTATTCTAAATATTCCTGTAGGAGGTTTGCACAAAATTAAACTACTTAGCAAACTTTTAAAAAATAAACCATGCATCAGTACAGCATCATGGCTGGGAAGCAAGAAATGGATGAGATTTTATTGTCACACTGACTGAGGTAAGCTTCCACTCTTAACCCTGCTACTGTATCTTGAAATAAATGAGTTTGGAACTGCAAAAATAGATACCATATTTTACTGTCAGCTCAACCACATCCCCAAGTGAAAGGTAACATTAAATATTTATTCTGCAGCTTAAATTCATAACCTTAGGCTATAATAGAGGCAAAACTAAGAATTAAGTACTATCATAATATTTTCAAAGTTACACTATCTTCAGTATTTTTTACCACTATATATTTAATTTGCCTATATTTTCTATAACTTTTAATGTGGAAAATACTTGGTAAAGTATACTAAATAATTATGCACATTAATAAGAAAAGTTCCATAAGGTGACTGAAGACAGGAGGAAAGCCTAACCAGGACTAATGCATTCGTGCCACACACACACACACTGCTCTTCTCCCACACCTGACTGGGGCTCTCTGTAGATGGCTGCATGGGTTTGGTGTTAAACTGAAGATTCCTTGTTTCACTACATAAATTCTATCTTCTTATTGCTCTCTATATTTTTCCTAACTATTGATGTATGTGTCCAATTACAACTTTTAAATGGAGGTTCTTTTTTGCATGAAAGCTCTTTTGCATGGATGAGTTCTGTCTCCTCAAAATGCCTATGTTGAAGCCTTCACACCCAATGTGACTATACTGGGGACAAGAAGGAATCTAAGTCAGGTGAGGTCATCAAGGTGGGACCCTCGTCCAACAGGAGTTCAGTGCTTCTAAGGAGACGGAGATGACAGGAAAGCACATGCCCAGGAAAGGCCAGGTGAGGTCACAATAAGCAGACCCAGGTGAGCATCCTGTGGAAACCAGCCCCTAGGCACCTTGAACTTGGACTTCCAGCTGCTGGGCCTGGGAGAAAATAAATTTCTATTGTTTAAGCCACCCACGCTGTGTATTTTGTTATGATGGCCCAAGTAGACAGATACAAAAGCTGAAAATTAGTTTTCAAAATCAAATGAGAGAGTTTAGATTAGCAAATGAATGGCTGCAACACATTTTGTTAAAATAAGTATGAAAATCTGACGGCACAGCAGTGCTTGTGTGAGGAAATCCTGCGCTTCTCCCCACAAGTCTTCACGTTCATGTGTATCAGTGTGACTTGGCGGTAGGGCTTGTGTCATGGTGGGAGCAGCATTCTGCAGCATTCTGTCCTGCTTGAAGTGTGCCTGACATCAGATAACTGAATATGATAGGCTTGATCTGAGCGTAGATCTCTGGGCCTCTCATTTTAATTACCAGGATCTTATTTCTAGCTTTTTGTTTTCAGGGTTTCCTCCTCAGTCTGACCTACATATTTACTTCTCTGAAAATATTTAACTATTCTTCCTCCAATATAGCATGCTTTCCTTTTTATTTTACAGTAGGACTGTAATATGAGATTGATGTAACAAAGAAACATTTGGATCAATTTTCCATTTCATTGTTTTTTTTGTTTTGTTTTGTTTTGTTTTCTGGTACCAGGAATCGAACTCATGACCTTGCGCTTGCCAGGCAGGTGCTGTGCCGCTGAGCTAAATCCCCAGCCCCTCCATTTCATTGTTTTGGAAAATTAAATCATCCTCACTCAACTAATGTTTTACATTCTAAAAAATCTTATGAATTTTGTCAATCATGTGGACGTAGACAGCTTAACATAACAAATTTCCATGTACTTATCAGAATCCACAATATTTGCATTTGAAAAATTTCCATTGGAATCTATCATTGCCATTGGTAGAAGCCATATTTTTTAGTTATTTATTAGTACATGTTTGCAGGACACAGTGATTACATTTATCATGGGGAGCTGGTCATGTTCCTAACAGATCTTGAAAGGGCAAGAGAGACTCCATTTTCTTTTTGTAACTCCATTTTAAAAGGTCACTTAAACTTTAGATGAACTCTCTCCTCACCCCGCCCTTTTAGCTAACCATAAAACCATAAGAGGAGGAATGAGTCTTTTATCTAGAGGAACCAACAGATAAACTGTGAGCAAGCTAAGATTAACTGCATCCTGCCTAATGAACACCTGGGAAGTGTAAATCTTGTGACCTTTTGTTAGGAACCCTTGGAATGTGGTTACTATGGAAATCAAAAGGATATTTGAACTGGAAGCAAAGTCCAGACTGGCTGACATTTTCTCTGACTCCTTGTTGGAGACTGTCAGTCGTTAGCTTCAATAAAGCTCTGTTTGTTCCTACATTCAGTCTCTTGTGAGTGCTATCTCACTGAATTTTGCCAATACAGTCTTACCTCTTCTTTATTTTTTATCCCCTACCACTTTTTTCTCTCCCTGCTCCCTCTAACTCTTGGTCCCCTTCCCATTTGCAAAAGCACTATTTTCATCATTTTTCCCCTTCAGTACATTTTTTAATCCTCCCTTCAATCTTGATCCTCTATTCATATATATATGTATATGTACCATATATATATAACACATATATTATATATATATATATTATATATGGTCTACATATAAGAGAAATGATGTGATGTTTAAACTTGTGCGTCTGATGTATTTCATGGACTTGAGCTGCATCCATTTATCTATGGATACCTCGTTTACCTTTATGACAGAGTAGTACTACATTGTGTGTAAATACATTTTCTTTTTGCATTAGTAGATGACATTTTTAAAAAGTCACTGAATTAAACTGAAACTTTTTATACGATAGATTCCTTAAACTTTTATATTTTTATTATAGCAAATAATGAGTATTATTATATTCTTGTAAATTTAAACAAATAGGAAATCATTTGCATTAATAGTGGTGATTTATAGTTTTAGTCTGTCTTCACTACTGCTTACTTCAAAAATATGCTGTGATGGTTTTAGTGAGATTTTACTGACCCTTTCATCAGATCTGGAGATACAGCCAGCATTGGATTCAAGTGGTTCCCCCTGCTCCCCAGTACTAGGGATTAAACTTGGGGCCTCAAACATGTTTGGCAAGCTTTCCACCACTGAGCTACATTGCCAGCCTTTTAATTTTTTTTTTTTTAATTTTGAAACGCATCTCACTGAGTTGCCTTAGGCTGGGCTTGAGCCTGTGCTCCTCTTGCCTCAGCCTGCTAAGCACTGAGGGTTACAGTAGCATGCCACTGCACCAGGCAAGGATATTTTTTAAAGTGGCTGCAGCTGTAATTTACAAGAGGTAAAACTAATAGATAATAAAACAAATGAATTTCTTTTTTTGAAGCACTTTTCAACCATTCCATAAGACTGTTTCAAATAGAATACTATGAAGTCTAGCTTCATCTTCCCTTATTTTTTCATCAGGAGAAGAAATGCAAACCTTAGATGAATTAATCAATTATGTATAAGCATTTACTATGCAGAACTCACTTACTATAAGCTAAAATAATGATTCCTGACCTTCTCAGAATTTATCATATGTTAATGACTCCAGGGGATACTGCAGAGGGTCTTTAAGGTGGCATTTCAAAGTCACTGAAAGGAAGAAGGTTAAAAGAGCAATCTGAGATCAGTATGGAGGTTCTGGAACTATATTAAAAGGAGATAAGTGAAAGGCAAAGAGCAGAGCTGCAGGGCAAAGGCCAGGGAAGGTGACCCGGCACCATGCTGCAGGAAAGGATGGCTGACCTACTGTCAAAGCTGTCAAGCATGATTGGTAGCTCTGAGGCCTTGAGAAATAAGGGCCTTTTCCCCCAAATACTGGAGCTGAGTGAAACCTTTCAGCATGGGTTGGGAACTTAAGGACGATCCTGACACAACTATGACCTAGCATGTCAGGCTGCATGGGGTGTGACTTGTGACCAGGGATGGGTGGGTGTGATGCATACAAGGAGCTTGTACAAGAGACTTCTGAATCTGAGACCTCACACCCAGGAAAAAGGATGTGGTGAGACTGTCTGTAAGTTACCTCGGCCACATATAGGAGCTCGACACTACTGAAATATCTATACCCCAAGATTCTCTTATTTAATGGCCTTCAGTGATTTGACCAGGATGAGTAACCAGAATGAGCAGTGATGAAATCCTCAATTCAACGGTCAGGCTAGCAGTCCATGGGGACAGTCTGTGACAGGGGACCAGTCTCTGCTACTCTCCACCTCTTCCTGTCCCCT